CATGGTTTCCCATTTACGGTCGGTTTTGAAGTTCGATACTATAACAAAGAAAAACGTATGTATGAGAAATTTGAACAAGGAAAACTTTTACAAGTTAATTTGCTTATAAACTTAGAAACAACTCTTCAAGCTTTTCAAGAAAAAATAAACGATATCTATATTGAATATGCAAACCAGTTTAACATTGACGAAGGAGAATACCATCTCGATATTATTTATGACAGGAAAAATGCAACTGTTAAAATCAATAAAATAGAAGACCTTGGAGAAAACGTTTATATTTCTACAAAATATAACAACTTGGCATGGTATAGATTTATGAGGATGTTAAATCAGCCTGCAGAATATCCAGTACACCCGGACTTTTATGAAGTCGAAAAACCTAATGGAACATATGAAAATATTTTCGACCCAGATGCTATAGGGTGTCCAAAGGTGCGTTTAGCACAGCGCTCTATATGAGACTATTAAAGGAGATATATGCTGATTATAAATATATAATAAAAAATATGAATATATGTATATGATGAGTATGTTGTATTTTGGCGCCATGCCGGGATATAAAATAAATTTTGAGACAAGAGGCGGTTTCGCGGGAAATTTTGGCGGAATTTTTTTCATTTTTTTAATGAATCATAAAGAAAACATCCTCGCTCTTGCAAAAAAATGCAAAGACTGTAAAAAAGTCTACGAGACATTGGTAAAATGCTTCGGTATGGATGCTCCTAGCTATTCCATTGTAACGTATCATGTTAGGATGTATCACTTCATGAACAAAAAGGCGCCCATCATAAAAATTGACAAAAAATCGCCGGATCAAAGAAAAATCAAAGCAATTCTTCAAGCGCTAGATGAAGACCCAAGAGCATCACTCAGAAGGATAGAGGAGATGACAAAGATACCACGTACAACAGTCAGTTATTATCTGCACAATTATTTGAACTACAAACTAGCGTATACACGTTGGGTTCCGCACAACCTTAATTCAGTTCAAAAAAAATCTAGAGTCCAATCTTCGAAAGAGCTCCTCTCTATATTGGGTGCGTATCAATCCAAGAAGTTTCGCTTTTTAGTAACAGGGGACGAGTCTTGGTTTCAATATGCAACAGAAGCCAAAATCATGTGGATCCCGAAGGATGAAAATCCGCAAACATTCCCGAAGAAAAAAATTGACACACCAATGATGATGTTGTCGGTTTTTTGGGCGTGAATGGCATCATCGCAATTGATATTCTTCAAAAACCTAATACGATGAATGCTCAGTATCTAATTGACAATGTTCTTACTCAAATTATCAATTCTGATGAGTTTGAGAAATCCAAACAACAAAAACAAAAGTTTGCAATTCATTTTGATAATTCAAGAGTTCACAAAAGTCATAAGGTAATGAATTACTTGTTGGAAAACAATGTCAAAGTTGTTCCAAACCCAATTTATTCACCTGATATTGCACCCTCTGACTTTTATTTATTCGGCACGCTAAAAAAGAGAGTTGAAGGACGCGAATTCGCGAGTCCAGATGATCTTGAAAATTTTGTAAGAGAGCAATTTGAGCAATTTTCTCATGATGATTTAAAGCGTGTCTTTCAAGCCTGGATCGATCGCTGCGAACGCGTGATTGAATCCAATGGTGATTATATTTAAATAAACTTTATATATATGTAACTTGTTTATTTCTATTCGCAGTATTCAGGTTTGTGCTAAACACACCTTTGGACACCCTATATTATTGTTCATGCTTCATTTTCTGGTGCGCAAAACTCTTTCTTATGTCTGATGAATGACTTTTACGAAAAACCTACAAAGTTATATGAACCGCCGAGTGGAAGTATTTCAGACTTTCAAGTATGGTTTACTACAGATGGAAGAAAAAGAATAATTCCATTATACCATGCGTTTTACTTAGAACTTAGTTTCATATACAACTACTATCGAACGATAAAAATATAATTTTTTAATACGGTTGAGGTGTTGGATTTGGTTGCCAACTAGACTGTGGTGCAGGTTCAGGCTGTTGTATAACAGGAGCTTGCTCTTCTGGTTCAGGGTCTTTAGGTATAATACCAACAAACTGACCTACTCTTTTACCAATATTTTTGACTCCGTTCCAAATTCCTTTTCCGACAGATTTTATTCCATTCCATATACCTCTTCCAACATTTCGAAAGAAGTTTCCAATACTACTGAAGAAACCCATTTACTATATGTAAAAATCTAATGTCCGCCTAGTCTCTTACGTTTCCTGTTGAGTTCCATAGCATTCTTTAACTGGAGCTCATACATTCTGTTTCTCCTCTGGTAGAAAACATATTCTGGGTCAACTCCTGTGTTCGCGTCATCTGCATAAAGTTGTTTATATCCCACTTCAGGGTTTGTATAAAACTCTTTCCATCTCATATTTGCATACCATGGTGGCAAACCTAACGCAGCGTCATTTGACATGGCAGTTTGCATTTGTACATCTGTTGGCACTTGACCATAGTTTGCCATTGCAGTTTGTATTCTAACTTCATTTGGAATATTCTCTGGGTTTGGTTGTCCAGGTTGCTGTGCATTCGCTAAGTTCTGGGCGTCCATTTAATATTAGATAAAAATATCTCTTACGAGTACATATACTGAACATTTGCAGGCATTGGTTCATCTTCATATTCTCTGTACTTTTCTGCCACGTCAAATAAATAAATGACACAATGGAAAAAACCTAAAACAAGTAGTCCTATTTCAAACCACATTACTTACTATAAAATTTCTTTATTGTGACACTTTCTCCAGTTTATAGGACCTCTCTCATATTCTATCTTGTCATATTTAAACACATAGTCATGTATGTCCTCTAACCATCTCATAACGGTTTCCAAACCACTTTTATCGGATGTAAAGTAAAAGCATGGATGGTTATGTAAAACGTCTAAAGTTTCTAAAGAGTCTCTCAAAGTCCAGTCTACTTGGTATTGAAAATCCCATGTGTTATAGAACGGCGGGTCCACTATAAAGAAAACATTTTCCTTGTCTTTATATTTTCATACAACTCTGTCCAATGACATCTTACAAACTCTATACCCTCAATATATTTTTCTATGTCCTCTTTGAAAACATTTGTATAGTTAAGATATAAAACTTTTGACATAAGTGTTTCAATGTCATGAACTCTTATAGCACCACTATATAATAGTCTAGCAGATATACTATTCCAGTCTATATATTCTGCTTTTTTCAAAACCTCTCTCACAATATTTTTCTTATCTAATGGTATACGTTCCATCTTACCTATAGGTATCTTTTCTTTTAACTCTTTCAATATATTGTTTGTGTCTGGAATATGTTTGAGACGGTCCATATAGTTGTCGAAGTCATTGCATATAATCTTTGAGTCAGGAAATACGGTATGACATAAATGGGATATATAGAAACTTCCACCGAACAAATCTACAAATGTTAGACCATTCGGTAGTTTCTTAAGTTCTCTCAATATAATATCTTTACATCTACTCTTATTTCCAAAGAACGGTAACGGCGGTTTTGTAAAATTCATTTATATATAATAATAAAAATGTTTTTACCCGAAAAGTGACAGAAAAGTGACAAAACATGAAAACATATATAATTTGTGAAAAGCGACACATTATATAATGTTTTCGACCCAGAAGCAATGGAGGAGGAAGAAGAGGAGGAGGAAATACAAGACTCTATCCAAGAAGAGTCCTCCGAATTCACACCAGAAGACTAACAATTTTCCGAATAAAAACTTCATTTATACTAAACATCTTCGGGGCTAGAGGGCGCAACGCGCCTGGAAGCCCCACTCACCTGACCTAATCCAGATAAATTCATCCCACACAAAATGGCATACATTTTCAAAATATCACTTTTTTATACGTTTGTACTCAAAATGAATAATTTGATTTGTGAGCCTTGATTCAAAAGCAAAGGAAAGTGAATATAAACATTTTCTCTTAGTTATAAGTTTTATCAATTCCATTTAAAGCAACTCTATGGAAATTATAGAATTTAAAAATTTAAATACATTAAATTGATACTTTACTTAGCAAAATCAAAAACACATCCAGTTGACATCATTTCAAGAGCCTTTAAAAGTGGAAAATGAGTTATTATTTTCTGTTCAAAATTAGAGAAAACAGATAGACCTTGTATTTAAAACAAATAATGATACAAATTAGAGAAAAATAAAAATGCTGATCATCAAGATCTATATTATAAAATTTTGAAATCAGATGAAAATATTATAACAGAGAATGCAAAGAATTAAAAAATATAACTATCTGCTTCATAAATTATTAGAGTATTACAAAGCTGGATGATATTTTCAGAGGAAATTGTTTTGTTTAATGAAATAATGATGATAAGGATGGATAAATAGTCTTCATATTTATAAAGTGTATATTTATGCCAAAAAATTGTTTCCTTCAACAAAAAGAGTAAAATACAAAAATTTCAGATAAATATTTTCAAATTATTTAAAGTAATGTACAGTAGATATGATGAGTACCCATATGTATGGTGGAAATGATAAGCTACAATGTTTTTAATGAATAAATAATCGAAATCAAATTAAATATTTGCGCTTTATATTTATTATTACGGTAGATAAAAGTACTTGTATCAACAGATTAGAATTACCTTAACAAATTAGTGGTTAAAAGAAGTAAAAACAGTAAAATCGACATTAAGTTGTAAGATCTAAGAGTTGGTATGAAAAAACTAATATTTGAGGGTGTCATGAGTACCAGTAGGATGTATTGATGCAATTACATGCACCATTTAGAGGCTCTATATATCAGTATTATGAAGAAAAATGGCTATCGATTATATATTCAAAAATTTATTGAGCATCGGATTATTTCTCATACAAATTCGGTAGGGATCAATTCTTGTGAAATAATACATATAATATAGTCTTTTGTAAAATTTATGAATGGCTGCATTTCAATTGAAATTCATTCTCTATCGGTCGTTTGGAAGTCTACGGCCAAATTTTCTTAATGACTGAGAAAGAAGAAGTCCCAGTTGTTGAGCAGAAGGGAAAGCCCCAAAAGCAAAAGGGCCAGAAGAAGGAGAAGCCACAGAAGCAACAAGGAAAGCAGGAGAAGAAGCAAGCCCAAGCTTCACAGCGTGCTGATCTTACCTTCCACGTTCCAAAATCAAACTTTTCAGATTGGTACGAAGAGCTCATGGTCACAGCCGGTATCGTTGATAAGCGCTGGGATATCAAGGGCATGCCAATTTTCTGCTCTTATGGTTATACAATGCACAACGAAATTATGCATCTCTTCGAGGTTGCCTACTCCAAGATCGGAGTTCCAATGACACAATTCCCAGCTTTCATTCCACGTTCATTCCTTGAAGCCGAAGCTGATCACGTTAAGGGCTTCCAATCCGAGTGTTTCTGGCATGAGGACGAGATGTGCCTTCGTCCAACATCAGAGACAGCCATGTACTCCATGTTCGCAAAGTGGGTTAAGACAATTGAAGACCTTCCAGTCATGGTTCAGCAATCCTGCAACGTTTACCGTTACGAAACAAAGGGAACAAAGCCACTTATCCGTGTTCGTGAAATTCCATGGAATGAGGCCCATACAGCCCACGCCACACCACAAGAGGCTCTTGACATCCTCGGCAAGTTCTGGGACATCGTCCACGATATTCTTACAACAAAGCTTTCCATCGACGGCCTTCGTCTTCGCCGTCCAGATTGGGACCGTTTCCCAGGCGCTGAGTTCACAGATGTTCTTGATGTTGTCATGCCATGTGGCCGTGTTCTTCAGAGTGTCGGTGCTCACTACCTTGGCCAGCATTTCAGCAAAGTTTTCAAGATCCAAGTTGATGGCGAATTCTCTTACATGACCTGCATCGGTGTTTCCACAAGATGCCTCGCTGCAGTCCTCTCCGCTCACGGTGATGACAAGGGTCTCATTATCCCAACAATCATCGCCCCAATCCAGGTTGTCATTGTCCCAATTCTCCGCAAGGACAACGACGCTTTACTCGCCAAGGTCGCTGAGATGAAGAAGGAACTCAGAGCCGCTGGAATCCGTGTCCACATCGATGATGATACAACACGCAGCCCAGGCGAGAAGTTCTACTACTGGGAGATGAAGGGTGTTCCACTCCGTATCGAAGTTGGCCCACGCGATCTCGAAAAGAACGAATGCGTTCTCGTCGTCAGAGGAATCGAAGGAAAGTACTCAGTCCACCTCTCCGCATTCGCTCAGGAATGCCAGGACTGGCTCGTCAAGTACGATGACGCTCTCCGTGAACGCGCTCTCGCTCACCTTCATTCCCGCATCGTCGATTGCAACAACCTCGACGATCTCCCAGGAATCCTCGAAAAGGGTGGCTTCGCAAGAATCCCATACTGGACAATGGGCAAGGAAGGTAAGGAAGGAGCTGAGAGAGTCCACGACATCTGCGGTGGTGAAATCCGTGGCTACAGACCATTCGAAGAACAGCCAGCTGAAGGTGTTAAGTGCCTCCTTACAGGAAAGCCAGCTAAGTTCTGGGCTTACGTCGCTCGTTCATACTAAATTTTTTTTTAAATATAACTCGCATTGAAATAAAGATATCTTACAATTTACTTACTCTCCAAATTAATGTTTACATTACTTTCTATTAATATAAAATTATTTACTGTAAAACACATAATCAATTTTAATTATTCTCTAAATATTCGAATAATTCAAAGAAAGAAAATGTAGATGGTGACACTACACTTGAAAAATGATTAAAAAGTTATTTATTTTAATTCTAATAAATTTCTTCTTCGAAAATATCAGAAAAAGAAAGAGAAGCATCTTATGAATGAATACTAATATGTTGTTGCACCATGTGAAATAAGAAGTTCGACTGTACTTATATTATTGGACATTGTTGCATAATGAAGAGCTGTTTCTTCATATTTATTTTTTTCATTAATATTTGCACCAAGTGAAATAAGAAGTTCAGCCATTTCTTTATTACAATACCTTGTTGCATAATGAAGAGCGGTTTCTTCATATTGATTTTTTTCATTGATATTTGCACCACATGAAATAAGAAGTTCAACTGTTTCTTTATTATTGCACCTTGTTGCATAATGAAGAGCGGTTTCTCCAATATTACCTTTTTCATTGATATTAGCACCTGATGAAATAAGAAGTTTGGCTGTTTCTTTATTATTATGTTCTGCTGCAGTATGAAGTGCGGTTTTTGTATAATTATCTTTTTTATTGATATTTGCGCCACATGAAATAAAAAGTCCGGCTATTTCTTTATTATTTTTTTCTGCTGCATAATGAAGAACTGTTTCTCCATATTTATTTTTTTCATTGATATTTGCGCCACATGAAATAAGAAGTTCAGCCATTTCTTTATTATTTTTTTCTGCTGCATAATGAAGAACTGTTTCTCCATATTTATTTTTTTCATTGATATTTGCACCACATGAAATAAGAAGTTCAGCCATTTCTTTATTATTTTTTTCTGCTGCATAATGAAGAACTGTTTCTCCATATTTATTTTTTTCATTGATATTTGCACCACATGAAATAAGAAGTTCGGCTATTTCTTTATTATTTTTTTCTGCTGCATAATGAAGAGCTGTTTCTCCATGTTTATTAATTTCATTGATATTTGCACCAAGTGAAAGGAAATGTTCACAAAGAGATGTGATATTAAAGCTCACCGAATAAATAAAGCATTCATTAAGATCATTAGTTTGATCGAAATAAACTAAAAATGATTCGATATTACGATGCCATTCACAATAATCTAAATCGATTGGCATATTGTATTCATTCATCAAGAATGTTACAAAATCAATGTTGTGTGAAATAATTGCATATTTCATGCATCTGTTATCTGGTACTTGATATTTCAAACATTCACTCATGATCTCTTGATTTCTTCCTAAAAATGAAAATTGTAGACATTCTTGAGTTATTTCTGATTTAAATTTGGTTCTTAATAATTTAAAACAATCAACTGCTCCATGGTAACAACATAATTCAAGTAATGAATATCCTTTGCCAGTATATGGATATAATTTGCATATAAGTATTTGATTTTGATGAAATCCTTCATTTTCTATGAAGTAAATGAATCTTTCTAGGTCATTATACATAATTGCTCTGTAAATCGTATCATCTGTATGAATATCGAGATTTTCAAATTTACATTTTTCGAAATCATCGAATTTGTCTAATTTAATTCCATATTCTTTGTAAAATAGGAAATTTAAAATACTTTTGAAATCTTCGATCTCATTGACATGATAATCATCAGATATCAGTTTTGCAAGATACAAATATGACTTTGTATAGCGATTATTATAGTAAATGATATCTAAAATATCTTTTATAATATCTTGAGGACGATATTTCTTTGAATCAATCAATTCTTTTTTGATCATTTTGTAAATCTTATTTAATTCTTCTTCATTTTCGGTTTTTAGCTGATACAATGTAATATATGTATCGATGTCGTATTTACAGATACTTAGTAATTCACTGTATTTATTTGGATGAACGTCTTGATCAGACATTAAAAAATTATGGAAAATAAATGCTATGTTATACATTTGGAAAACAATTACCACAACAATTTCGGATATAATTTATGAATTTTGATTGTTCTCATAGAAATGAAATTCAAATATCGAAAACAGAAGCTTATATTAAACAAGCATATCATGTTTCTTTTTATCGAAATGAGTTGAGTAAAGTTTTGAAGTGAATAATGTGAAGATATAAACTTACCAAGACTCTTATTTCAAAAAATCGAAGAAAAAAAGTAGGTGAGAAATTGCTATGACACACTTTTTCTTGTCTTCCACACGTTTTTCGCGAAACTGAACTCTTTTTTAAAAAGATCCGCAATCTATGTTTCTAATTGTATTTTTCAATTATGGCTATTTGTGCTGTTGTAAACAGAAATTCATCAAAAGTGACACCTCAGAAAAGCTAAAATATTGAATTTTTGGAACTTTTGATAGAGCACGTTTTTAAATATTAATTAAAGTAAATGTATATTTTGTAAAGATTCTTTTTAATAAAAAAATAAAATTTTGAAGAAGAACACAAAATCTTCTGAAAAATAATATCACATAAACTCATATTATTTTCTAATATATAACTATTTTATATAAAAATCAAATTCAATGATCTTAAAAGCGAAGGATAAACCTCAAAATTTACGAATATAATGAGTGGGAATATAATGCTTATCTATCATAAAACCATATGAAATATCAATTTTTGCTTTACGCCTAATTTTTGACGACAATTAGCAAAAAATGTTAAATGTTAACACTCAGTCCATTTGAATATGAAAAATAAAATTGACTTTGATTAAATGTTTTTATTTATCATGCAATTCTTCTTGCGACCAAAGATTTGAATAAAAGTTCAAAAAATAAGATAGCTTAAAAAATAATATACGGTAGTGTTTACTAATAGATGAATAGTATATAAATTCTATTAAAATGGATTTGATCCAAAAAAATATAAAACCAAAAATAATTGTTATAATTTAAATGAAGAAGTAATTTAAAAGAGGATGTTTTATTGTCGTCTGGAAAAAGTGACAAAATTATTATTGTCGTCTAAAAAGGTGACAAATTATTATCGTCGTCTGGAAAAGTGACAAAATTATTATTGTCGTCTAAAAAATAGATTTTTCAAGCATGTTTCGGTACCTAAATAAAGGAAGAACATCAATTCCATCTATGTATATAGTATGCAAACACGCATGATATATGGAGTAGCTCTTTATCTGGCTAAAAATCCTATTATTTGAAAATTCGCATTGTCGTCTAAAACCGCCAGACGACAATAATAATACCCCAATTTAAAACGATTTTATTTATGATCAAATTTTATATATTTTTTTGGATCAAATCCATTTTAATAGAATTTATATACTATTCATCTATTAGTAAACACTACCGTATATTATTTTTTAAGCTATCTTATTTTTTGAACTTTTATTCAAATCTTTGGTCGCAAGAAGAATTGCATGATAAATAAAAACATTTAATCAAAGTCAATTTTATTTTTCATATTCAAATGGACTGAGTGTTAACATTTAACATTTTTTGCTAATTGTCGTCAAAAATTAGGCGTAAAGCAAAAATTGATATTTCATATGGTTTTATGATAGATAAGCATTATATTCCCACTCATTATATTCGTAAATTTTGAGGTTTATCCTTCGCTTTTAAGATCATTGAATTTGATTTTTATATAAAATAGTTATATATTAGAAAATAATATGAGTTTATGTGATATTATTTTTCAGAAGATTTCATTCTATATGCCTATGAAAAGTACTCTCAAAACTAACTTTTTCCTAATTATAATTAAATCTAGAATATTGTATTATGCTTAGTATTATTTCATTTTTCTCATTCAATTTAGAATTTACAAATGTCAAAAAATTGAGAGCTGTCACTTTTGATGAATTTCTGTTTATTACAATATAAAACCAAAAATAATTGTTATAATTTAAATGAAGAAGTAATTTAAAACGATTTTATTTATGATCAAATTGAGAGCCTAAAAAGCAGGATTATGGTAGCTGGTGCTGGGGGCGGTTGCTGTAATCATGCAGGCGGTGCTAACGCTGGATATGGGGGAGAATTTGCAGGTGAAGATGGCGTATTTACGATAAATGGTCCTTGTCTAGAGTCGACTTGCGATAATCAAATTCAAGGAAATTGCTATAATACTATTCCAACAGGGGAAAGTCAGACTAAGTAGTGGGATTGATTCTTACACTGGTTATAAAACCGGGAAATTCGGAATAGGAGGCTATGTACGAGAAAGGTGGGAAAGGCCTCCAGGCGGAGCTGGTTACTATGGTGGCGGAAGTGGGGCTGATTCAGAATGTACTATAACATGTGGTGCTGGTGGATCTTCCTTTGTATCAGGGATGCCTGGATGTAATGCGATTAATCAATCATCCTCTAGCTTCGATAATATATTGCATACAAACCAGCCTATCCATTACTCTGGATATCAATTCACTGATGCTATCATGCTTAATGGAAGTAATTCAGAAATTCCACGACCAGAGAACCTCTTCTTTTATGATGGTGCATATCAAATAACTATTCTAAGCGAATTTATATCTTTCCTCAGAACATGTCGTGTATCTTTCATATCTTCGCAGACATTCTTTCTAACTTTCATTGTTTTTATTCAAACTTGAATAAAAAGCCATTCTTTGTATCGTTGGTTTGGTTAAACTCGTGTTTTATAGGCGTTAAAAAAATTAAATTCATATTTGAAATTTTTCGAGAATTCTAGATATCTTTAATATATTTAACGAAATAAATAAAATTTAAAGATATTGGCCAATAGTTAAAAATTTTTTTAGAAATCGATATTTCTCAATTATAGACTTAGAACTATATAAGATTTTTGAATCATAACGTCTATGGTCATTATTTATGAGGAATGAGCGATGTCTCCATTTGTTTCTTGTGAAATCCCATCCAATCATGACTTAAGCTTATAATTTTGTCGAACAATATTAATTTTTCTTGATCAAGTTTGCTGTCTATAATTACATATCATGTCCTTTAAGCATGGCTATATGAAAAAAAAAATCACTTGAAAAAAAAAGGCCAAAAAAAAATGTTGAACGAATTTCAAATAGAACTTATTAAATGCATAGAATCTGGATCACTTGAAGGTGTTAAAAAGCTTGTTCTTGGTAAATTTGATATTGATAAGCCATTGATTCCAAATTTAGAAATTCCAGTTAAGATTCCTTCACAGCGTATCCCATTTCCTTTTGTTCGTGGTCCAACACCATTGGTCTTTTCTATTCTTTACCAAAGAACAGATATATTTAAATACTTTCTTATAGAGAAGAATGCTAGTTTAGATGTAAAGGTGAATGGACTTTATCCAATTCATTACGCATGCGCAGTTGGTAAATTAGATATTATGCAAATTATACTAGGAACTGAAAAAGGCCGTTCTCAAGTTAACCTACCGAATGACTATTTCTATACTCCTCTTCACTTAGCCGCTGCAAATTCTAATCTCCAAGTAGTACTTTTACTTCTTTCTTATGGATCTCAAGTTAATCTGAGCGCATCCACTCAAAAGCCCGAGACAAAGAATAGCCCACTTCACGTTGCCATGTGCAACACTGATACTCAAGTAGTGGAAGCCCTTCTTTCAAAAGGAGCCGATCTAAATGCACTAAATGCTGAAAATGAGACTCCAATGAAAACCGCTGAGTTCTTCCATAATGAGCAAATGGTTAAATTCTTACAGAATTATCAGAATGGCACTACTACAATTAGATCATTCGAAATATTATGTAAAGAGTACTTAGACGAAAACACAGAGAGTAACGAATCCGAGAAAATTAAGCAAATGGCGGAACAAATTCGTATACTTAAGTCTAAGATAGAAAATCTAGAAGCAATGAAGCAATAATTTACTTAGAAAAGCTCAAAATCAATAAAAACCTACTCGTATACACTTACAATCTATTTTAGTTTCTACTATACTAATTCTTTACATTGATTTTTTTCAAATAATATTTCCTTGAAATTGAGATTTATCTTTTTACTGATTTATTAAATTCTGGTTGTAATTATTGAAGATCTTTATAGTTTTAGATAAATCATAAAGTATTCTTGGAAATTTCGAAATAAATATTCCTGTCTTATGAATGTAAGAACAATAACTTAGCCTTAAATGAAGTTTATATAAACACCTTTTATAATAAAATCATACAAACATTTTAAAAATCATTGTCAGATGAATCTGACTTCTCCTTAATTTCCTCAGATTGCATTACTTCGTCTTCGGAATCAGCAATTTCATCAGGTACAGGAGAATTGCTATTACTAGCATTTCCAGGAGGATCTAAAGTTTGTGTTGCAGAAATAACAATATTTTCATCTGAATCAACTGATTCGAAATCAGAATGGATGGTTCCACTCTTTCTTAGCTGGCTTTCTGTATTCTTTGGCTTTTCTTCTTCCTTGTTACTCTTCTCCTTTTCTTCCTTATCGCTAGATTTCTCTTTATCACTTGTTTTCTGTTCTTTTTCGCTTTCTTTGGCCTTTTTACTTTCTTTTTCATTGAGTTTTTCTGAATCACTTGATTTCTTATTTTTAGCTTCTGGTTTTTTATCTTTACTGCTAGATGACTCTTTTTCATCTTCTTTTGTATCTTTTTCTGGTGGATTTGAGTCTTCATTATCTTTCTCTGATGCATTTGTTGCTTTTCCGCTATTTTTGAGTTCATCTGTTTGTTGCATTGTTGAATTCTTTGAAGATTCTGGTTCGAACACTTGAACATGAAGTTTCTCATTTTGGTTTTCTTTAAGTTTTGCAATCTTTGCATCTTCTTCTGCAATTTTCTTCTTGTAATCTGAAACAGCTCTTGAGAGAACACCATGTTTTCTTTTGAGCAATTTGCATTCATCTTTGAGTTCATGAACTTCTTTCTTAACTTCAGCTTGTTCATCAACTGCTGCTTTATGTCTTTCTTCGATTTCTGAAACAGTAATAGCTTTACAGAACTCAGCAACTTGCGCAAGTGTAATAGGATCTTCGATGTTAACTTTGAGAAGTAAATTAAATTTATCGTTGATAACTGTTTTTTGAGCAGTAACTTCTGTTTTTGTTGTAAGCATTTCGTTTAACTCATCAAGAACTCGTTTGTTCTGTGTTCTAATATCTTCTTCACTTTGTTTCTTATCTCCATTTTCTTGTAATAATGCTTTGTAAGTGAAATCGAGTGAAATCTTTTCTTTTTCCATTTCCTGTATTTTTGACTTATTTTCGACTTCGAAATCAATTGTTTTCATTCCTTCTGCATGAACCTGTTCAATTGCATCATATAGTTTCTCTCTCTCTTCTGTTAACTCTGTAATTTCTTTTTGTTTCTCTGGAATTTGTCTCAAAATCTGTTCAAGTTCTTCGATTTGAGCCAAAATGTTGTTTTTCTCTGTATCATCTTCAATTATGTGATCTCTCATCTTCTCATTTAGAGAAGTAAAGTCATCAACAAGGCGTCCATGTCTCCTTTGGAAATCTTTGTATTGTTCGTTTAAAATCGAAATTTGGGCATTACGATCGCTTAATTGTTCTCTAAGTTCTGTAATACTCATTTCTGTAAGAACAGGGAATGCTATTTCAGAATATGCTTGTAAGGCTTCAATATTATTGTTTGTTAATAAGCAATATACAGTAGTTAATAAGTTATGAATCTGAGGATCATTTTCTTTGTTAATTAGATCTTTTGTACATTTAACAGCTTTACCAAATGTAATGTTATTGATTTGAGGCTTCTTTTTCACTGGAACTACGTGATGATTGAAAGGTTCACTTTCAGGAACTTTTCTTTCTTCGAGCAATTTCTTGTATTTGTCTTTTTTATGCAAAAGTCGTTGTGTTTCATTCATTGTATTTTGAATTCGAGTTAATAACGTTTCAACTTGATGACGGAGTGTAACAATTCGTTTGTTTCCTGCCTGATATGAGTTAAATGCTCCATAAACAGGAGCTGTAAACTCTTTATGCTTTGGACTTTTCACAGTTGGCTTAGTAATTTGTGATTCTGGAGCTATAACAAAACCAAGTACTGCTTTTCTTGAATTTTCTTCTGCAACTTCTAAGCATGTTTGTAATTTATCAATAGAAACACGTAAATTTAATAATCTAATATTTCTCATGTCATACTCGTCGCACATCTCAAGAACAAGGGTCTCTAGTTCTTCTCGCTGTAGTTCTTTTAATCGGCGTCCATTTTCTGATATGTGCTTCCATGGTTCATCCATAAATTCAAGATTTTAATAATTTCAAAACGTCTTTTTTTTTCCTCATCTCTATTGCGAATCCAATATGAATATATAAGATTTCAGTGTTATGATCATATACCAAGCAATGTAAGGCAAATATGCTTGAATATGAATGCGTGCAAACTAATAATATCTTGGCAAAAAATATTATTTCGATTAACATATAATAATAAAGTCATTATGGGTGTATTTCAAAATTCAAGTATAATTTAAGGAGTATGATATTTTGTGAATAGTTAGTTATGGTCATAATGTATCTTATAATGACGAAATTAAAATAATTATTGCAGAGACTGATATGATCTTTCAAAAATAGATTGTTAAGTACTATCATTAAAAGGTAATTGTGTTACATTCTATCTTTTGATGTAATTTTTAAAATATCTTGAGAATAAATTGAAATAAGAATAAAAAAAGAGTTAAAATGTGTTTTATTGAGATTGTTATATAATTAAGAGTTCCATTTTCAATGAGAGAAAAAAAAAATATTAACAATCAAAAAAAAGTCTTTATTTGACTCAAAGGAATTGAGAAGATTCACCGCGTGGGACTGGTTTCGAGAATGGTTTGATCATCTTCATTGCAAGGAATGTTAATTGAGTTAATTGGCCGGACAAGAGACCCAAGTTAGCTTCTTCTATAGATGAGATATCTGCATCAGTCTCATATGTATTTCTAAACCAAATTCCGATCTCATTTGCCTTGCGAACGAAATCTTCATCAAATTCGACTTCTTTATTCTTTATTTTCTGGAGATGGCACTCGATTAAGTCGAGATTGCGCTCGAGTTCTTTGTATGCTGATATTGTAAACTCAATTGACTTCTTTACGTCGCCACCAGATTGAAGTTCGGAAATGCAAATGTGTTCTGGGTTTTCAGTGCGATAGCTGTACTTGCATTCCTTCCATTTCTGATCTTCTTGGGCAAACAATTTAATAGGATGCTCGTCTTCACCAGTAAATTTGATTCTGCACAAAACAGGGTAAAAAATATTTAATTCTGCAGTAATTAAGTCCAATTCCTTGTCAGGGATATTGCCTATCCAGTAAAATCCAAGAGCTTTCTCTGATTTGTGAATATCAAGTTCGTATTTATCAAGTTCTTCATAAGCAGCGCGATTTACAACGATTTTCCCATTGTCGTTCTTGATGGCTAGCTGAAATGTGGAAATAACTTCGATTTTATCAGCATCTTCAATGCCATATAAAGCGCCTGCGAAATATGAAATATCTGGGAATTCCTTCATGTTAATATATTTTGTTAATGTGCAATGCTGTGACATTTGAAGAGCTGCCTGTGGGTGAAGATATAATTTCCTCATTCTAATTAATTGATGTCACTTTTCTGAAAATTATGCCAAAAATTTCGACGTCAGGAAATTTGACATCATAATTATGGAAAATTTGTACGAATGCGTTTCCCTTCCACTGTGATAATATTTATGAACAGATTTTTTGAGAATGAGCTGAAACTCAAAAATAAATGTTGGAAAACTAAAAATATGATCGACATATCTCAAAGTACTAACTATATGTATTCGTTAGTTGAACAAATTTCTATGATCATGCTTGAACAAGTTTAACTTATAGTCCGAATCATTGATAACAATATTTGTTTTATTTATTTGTTGCTTTTTCATATCTTATTCCTCTCTCCTTATGACTGTTCCGTTTCATATAGTCAATAGTTCTTTTCATCATGTAATCTTAGAAAAGATAAGGAAATATATAAATTTAATGTTTTTTAAGAGTCTGTTATCAATGAAGAATTAAATCAGCAAGGGTGGCTCTTCATCATTCAATGTTTATTGAAAAACTGAAATATTTATATATATAATGAAGATTTCCGCTATATTAGAGTGTTTTTTAAGGTAAAAAGGTATAAATTGAGGTAGCCATGTTTATTGCAAAATGATACATAGATTGTTACAACTTCATTCATATTTTATAGAAAGCATTTGATAAAAATCATATAAAAGATAGTGTGTCAAGCAATAATTTGCTCTGAAATCACGATATATTGTGATGTGCGTTCAAAATAGAATGTGCAAGTATTGATATTATCTTTATTTATCAAGTTCAAAATTAAAAAGTGACAATAAATTTAATATGGAAAATCTTAATGTCATTCGGCCCCTTCATCCACTTTTATCTGTAAAAGAGTGTCAGATCTCGTATATAGATGAAGTCTCCATATCCCAAAATGGGAAATTAGACAATAGATTGCTTGTTATCGCGAACTCCTGGTGTATTATTCTCAAAAAGGTACTTTCATAAAATCAATGTATGTAGAGCATATATTTCCATTCTATAACATGTCCCATATCAAAATTGAACGCCAATTCGTAACAATTACAAAGCCTTCAACAACAATTCAAATTTCTCATCCAGATTTACTAAATATCGCGTGTATTATAGTATCAATTAGGTGCACTCTTTACGATCCTAAAACATTCCCTTTAAACATTTCAATCGCGATGTCATTACAAGAACAATTTCAACGACTCAACTATGATTATACTACTGAATCAACTCTAGCTGACAAATTCTTGTCATCATGCGCTGGATCGTCTACACAATTAGCAACAGATAAGTTAGAACAGTGTTATTCATTTTTATCGAAAATTAAAGAAGAATTAACGATATCACAAGAATTTTTATCGTTGCCATACCTTTCTAATGCTGTCTCTTCGTTCTCAAATGAAAAACATTTGACAACTATTTATTTGACAGATACAAACTCAAAGCAGCTATTTAAAACCTTCTCGTCTATCATTTCTACGAATGTTGGGATCAAATGCGTTGTCATGAATAGCGTAACTGTTCAAGGAGAAATGAAAGATTTCAATGACGCAGTTTCCACGACTAATTCGACTATTTACGAATGGGTTTTTAATTACTGTAACTTTGAATCGGAAAATTTCAAGTTATTTATTGAATGTTTCCGAAATTATAAAACAAATATCAAAACTTTGATATTTAACAACTGTTCGTTCACTCAATCGACGTTTTCTTACTTTACTCAGAGGTTCTTCTTCATAGATTGCTTCCATTCCTTGGAATCCTTCTACATTGGCGATGTAATTTTTTCAAAAGAAGTTTTATTCTTCCTTTGCCAGTTATTCGCTTCGGATTGGGTTCTTAAAAACAAAACACTCAAGAATCTCCTTATCCCTCGCTGCTACGTTGAGCTTGATACCTTGTTTTTGCAAATGCAAAATTTCGAAACCGGAATTACAACGGCGGACTTCAGCGGAAACATCTTTATTCATCCTCTTTCGAGTGATTTAGCCTCTAAGTTGAGTCCTTGTATCAATTTCATGTTCCCGGACTGTGGATTTGGAGAAGAAACATTTATATCTTTGATGCAAGTCCTTTCTTTGCATCGAGGACACACTCTTCGATTAGATCTGTCCAACTCATTATGTTCCCCTGCAAGCTGGAAGCGTTTTTACAGTATTGCTCCTACATTATCTTTGAAATCTCTTGTTTCATTGGTATGGAACGGAAATGTCATAGATAAGTCCTTCTGTGATTTCATAAAGAACCAGCCTAGACTATCCAAACTCTCTATTTCGGATTGTATCCTGCAATCTGACGCTGATGAGATTTTACCAGAGCTTTCCAAGGTTTTTTCGATCAAATCGCTATCGAGTTTCACCATAAGAGCGACCAAACCTCAGTTTGTACTAGGAAACAGCGTTGTTCCTCTTTTAATTCAGTTGATGAAAAAGAGATCTCTCAACGAACTGGATATTTCGGGTCAGAATGTTGGAGAAGAAAATATTCTGGCTTTGTTGGATAGTATGCCAATGGTTATGAAAGGAATCAGATTTAATAATAACAATATTGTAAATCCGGATAAATTAATCCAGATTTTGAACACGATATTGAAGAAGAGATTGACTTTCGCATCATGGCCCGAAACAGATGTCGAAAATATCATAATTGCAACAAACCAATTATTTAGAAACGAAATCAAGTCAAGGATTGACGTATTGAAGAAGGAATTTGAAAGTAGATACGGTGTTACGCAGGTACAGAACGATCCGTTGACGTTTATCCACAATATCAAAAATACTTTTAGTAATAACTCATTAAGTAATGAAAATAAACCTCAAGTTACGTATGGATTTGAAGGAAGACATGTTGCTGCTGATAAAATGCTCAAATTCAGAGTAACTGACGATGAAATATCAAATTTGTTAAATGAATGCAATTCATTAGAAGGAAAAAATCCAATGGTTTCGATGTTGGAGTTTATGGAGGCAGAAACTTCACTCGCAAGGCTTGCAGACTATTTGAGTGGAATGCATGACTCCCAGTCCTCGGAATCCTTCGTATCTGTTAGAATTGAATAAAATAAATTTAGTTTTGTTTGTTTTTTCGAAAAAATAACTCATTTTTCTGAGATATTTACAATTTATACTATGAAATAGCTTGTATGCTTTCAATGCGAATTAAATATCATGTACTGATGATTTAAAATTTATTTGTACTAGTTAGATTATTGTCCATCAATTCGTAATCAAATCATGTTAATATCGCTAAGAAAAAATTAAGTTTTGCTCCCAACAATTGCAATTGAAGGAGTAGTAACTTGTAAAAAAAAGAAATAAAGAAAAATTTTTAAGGTTGTGAACTTTATTCTAATAGATTTCTATTGGAAAAAATACCACGGAGGCCACTCTCAAGAAAGAGGAGCTTATTTGGACCTCATCATCCTCCTCTTCCTTTTCAGTCTCCGCATACGCTTCTTGAGCCACTTGCCGCGCATAATCCTAAGTGAAGGGCCAAAACCGTTGGAATGTATTCAATTTGATATCGAGAACTTAGTTATCCGAATTTGGAAATTATTTTGAACATTAATGGTTTGATTCATGAATAACTTCATTTCGTTGAACTAAAATCAACTTTAGTGCAAGAATACAAAATCGATAAAATTGAATTCGCTTTTTTATAAGCTAAATTTGATATTAATTGATTATTCTTGCATAAACAAATCTGCATCAAGATTGAAAAACTCGAGAAAAGCAGGAAGAATTACAATTCCAGGAATTTGTAGAAGTTTGAAGAAGTATGATTCGATAGATTCGATTCTTTGTTCATCCGTAAGCTTTTCATATCGTACGAGAGCCTTTTTTGACGGAAGAGGATCGAGGAATTTAAATTCTCTAAAATAAGTTTGTATTATTTTATCAAATGCTTCAAAATCACCAGCACGTTTGAAAACTTCTTTGGACTTGACTTTATCCCCTCTCATTACACCCAATTCGAGTGAAACAACGTATAATAGATCTGATGTTTCATCATCTTCGAAAACTTTACAAGCTATAAATACTTTCGGATCTGCAGGCGATTCATCTAATAGAGATTTGGCATGTGGGCTGATCTCTGTCAATGAATAACTTTTCATAAATTAAAAAAGTCGATTATTTTCAATTGAAATTTATTTTTTATTTTGTAAACAAATTTTTACAAAAATGTGACACAAATTTAGCACTTTTTGAACGTTGTTTAAAAATGGATTTATCAAAATATGTAACTCAAGTCCAAAAAGGAGAAGATGAGCAAGTTAACCAAGAGGATGTGCAAGATACTCACATTCGTGGTAAACATACTCTCGATCCAAAAGTTGTTCAAAAACTCGAAATGGAAATTTTAAAGTCGATGGCAAGTGGCAAAAACCTCGATACTCCTTTTGGAGGCGCTTTACCAGATGCATCTATTACTACTGCGACTACTTCAATCGTTGCAACTTCAATTTTCAACAGTTCAACTGCCTTTACAATGGAATCGCTTACAGAACAAACACTTTCTTCTTTAGCTCCTCCAGATACTATTATGGAACAAGATGGAACTCAAGAGCAACAGCAAGAAGCTGCGTCGAGATCCTGTTGTGGTGCACCAGTTGCAAGGCCTGATCAGAATAAGCAAGCTGTCGCGCCGGATGGCTCACTACTACCAGCACAATCATCCGAGGATCGCGGAAAAATATGTTTAGTTCTCGATTTGGATGAAACTTTAGTACATAGTTCATTCTTAGCTATTCCTCATGCAGATTATAGATTTAACATCGGTGTAGAACAGAATCCGGTTGGTGTTTTCGTATGTGTACGTCCAGGAGCCGAAAAATTCTTGAGAGAATTAGGATCTCTTTACGAAATTATAATTTTTACTGCTTCTTGCCAGGTTTATGCAGATCCTGTTATCGATTTCATCGATAAGGGCAGAGTTGTTAAATATAGACTTTATCGTGAAGCTTGTACAGACTTCAATGGCAGCTTTGTTAAAGATTTGAGCCGCTTGAACAGACCATTAGAGAAAATTATTATTATCGATAACTCTAGCGTTGCTTATTTGCTACAGCCATATAATGCAATTCCAATTGGGTCATGGTTTGATGATCCGACAGATAATGAGCTTTTTATTATACTAGAAAAACTCAAGCACCATCATCGTGCAAAGAATATTAACTCTATTCTTTATCCTGAATAATTTGTTTTGTTTTTGTTGCTTATTTCCTATTTGATAAATTGTTTCTTTACATTGAAATTATATTTTTGCTGCTTTTTAGATGCCCCATTACATCGAAATTTAATTTCTTTAGAAAAGGTGGTTTTCGGATTTGTGTTTGAGTTTAGTTCGAGCTCAATATATGGAAAATGAGTAAAATAATGATGGATAAGAGCAGCTTTCAAATTATTCAGAAAACCTCAAAAGATTTTGATTGATATGTTAATTCTTGCATTCATGTTATTGAGCTAAATAAATGTTTCAGGGTTAAGGTATAAAATTCAGAATCCGAAAATGATCAATAAGGTGGTTCTAGCTAAGTACCTCGGATCGTTTTTTATCTTTTTATCAGCAATTGCAGGCTTGTCATTCCCATTGTTCTTTAGAAAGGCAACTTGGCAAATCAGAGGTGAGTGTTTAGCAGGCGGAATTTTTCTTGGAGCTGGAATCGTTCACTTACTTGATGATGCATTCTTAAATCTTCAAAATATCAAGCTTAATTATCCATTAGCGCCAGCTGTTTGCTTAGCTACCTTCGTTATTTTTACTTTGATTTCTTTCCTCACAGTATCCGAAGAAAAACCTGCTGAAATCGCAACAGACTCACAAGATGAAAACATGATCACACTCATGGATGGTACACCTAATATGTTAAGTGATGCTCAATCTATAACACCAACACTATTCGGAACGAAATATCTCTCGATTCAAAAATGGTCGTTGTATATAATTTTATGCATCCATTCGTTCATTGAAGGCTTTGGCCTTGGAATTTTACTCAAATTCACAAAAGTTGTTGGTTTATATGTAGCTATGATTGGCTTCAAACCAATTGAAGCTTTTGCTTTAGGTCTGTTTATGATAGAGGATAGACCAAAAAAGTCTTTGTACTGGATATTAAGTGTAATTTATTCAATATTAACTCCTATCTTTTCTATCGTTGGAATATATATAGATAAGTTAGCAGGACATGATACTATTGGTATTATTTCTGCTTTTTCCGCAGGATCTTTCCTTTATGTCGGTTCCTATGAATGGAAAAACCTTTTATACAAGAAGAAGGATTTCAGCAGAAAGGAGAGAGCATGGAATTACTTCATGTTCCTTGGTGGAGTAGTATGGATGCTCTTCATCGCAGAAATTGAAACAATATACGAATAATTTGTTTATGTTAAAGCTTGTCTTAGTTTTATTGTATATGACTAAATAGTAGATATGTTATGTATTGTACTTGTGTAAATACTTCTAATTTAAATGAAAATTTAATTTTTATATTACTCATTTCAAAGATTTTTAGATTTGAAACTTGAAAAATCTCTTGGAAATACATTTTAAAATATGAACGCAATGTCACAGGATCAGATTATCAACAGAGAGTGGTTCCCCCTTTATTTTTATTTCTTTTTCCCTCAACAATTTTTAATGGATAATCCATTTGCTCAACTTCGAGAACTTGTAGCAGGTTTGAACAGCCAAGAAGAGTTTAAATCTCATCTAGTTGAAATTGTTGCTTTAATTAGTATGATAAACAAGATGTATATCGATGTTTCATTTGCAAGAAATCAAACATTGCTCGAATTGCAAAAAGTTGTTAAGAACGTTCATGCCATTCACTCAACTAACGATAGTTATCTTTATACGTGCCAAATTATGGCTGAAGATATTCAAAATATTGAAATTCCGCCATTCAATCTTGATGGTTTGAATATTCAACCAAGAGAAGAATTTATGGCTGCAGCAGGTATGACAGAAGAAGAAGCTGCAAAGCTTCACCCAGATGATTTTATGAAACAGCAAATGCAACATGAAATCAAACGTTACAAAGAATTAAAACAGCAATACCATGAACTGCATGCTAAATCTACTGAGCTTAAAGCCAAATTGGTCAATGTCAACAAGTTATTTGCTCCAATCATGACAAAAATTTGCGAAATGGACGAAGTTCTTAAAAACTTCAAAGAAAAGTACTTGAATAATCAACCTCAATAAGTACATTCCTTTTTTATGTTTTGTTTTTCTACATAAATATATTATTTGTTCGAATGTTAGATATTTTGTTGATTTTTATACAATGTTATTCATGTTAAGGATAACTGCATGCGAATTTTTTAAACTATTTTGAAAAAATTATGATAATCTAAACAATATTTCGATAAATAGCCAATATCTTTCCAATTAAATTGGTTAATATGTATATTCAATTATTATTAATTACAATGGTATATTTAAATTTCATTAGCCCCAACTTTTATTATTCCAAAATTATTTTGAAAATGAAAATTTGAGAAAAAAAATTTTGAAAAATAAAATTATTTCCCCAATTTTAAAAAAAATTTGGAAAAAATCGAGAAACAGAAACACACTAAATTAGGACAACAAGCAAACTTTTAGCGAATCTGGATAAAATATCAAAATTTGAGTGAAATTTGCATAAAATTTCAAAGACAACAATAAATGAACAACTTCTGTTCATACTCCAACTTCATTGCATTAATTTGATTAAAAGTATCTCATATTCACTGATCAATATAGAGAATTAATGCAATTTCAATTCAGATTAAAAGATAGAATTGTTATTGTATACAAATCGTTTAGTGATTTTATACATGTGAACAGAAAAAACAATAAAAACCTTATAACATTTAATAAACAAAACTTATTATTAAATTTTTACATTAATATATATTTTAATGAACGAGTTCGTAATGAAGAAGGATAGAATTACGCTTAGCAGCGAAAACTTCACTGCGTGGAACAACAGTAACTGTGGAATCACTGCATTTAACCCATCTTCTCATTCGAAGACCTCCTTCTTCAAAATGCTGTCTATAAGTGAAGTAATGACCTGCATTATCTGAACCAAGGAAGGCAGAAACAGATGTTAAACGGAAACCTGAAGTTTCATCTTGTATTTCACTTATTCCTGAAAGGCTTCCACGCATCAAAGGTACTTCTTCCTTAACTTCTTCTAAAGGAACAAGTGAGTAGTTTGTAATATCTAGCCATTCTGGAAATTCAAATTCTTGGTTAATTGGTCGACCAATTCCTACATTTCTAGTCAAAAAGAATAATATTGACCTTGGTAAAAATAGGATTGATCGCCTTAATTTCCTGTCTGTCATTCGATTACAGTGAGTACACTTAGATTGAATTGTAATTGGGCCAAAGTATTCTTGGAGCGCATTATTCAATGATCCAGACGTTACATCTAAGATAAATGTTGACGTCTGGTCAATACGTGAAGTTGATGAATTGCAAATCGGACATGTAATGGTTTCTTCGTAAATACAATGTGTAGGGAATATTCTACGTGTTGCAAATGCGCTGGTTGGTGATGTTAGTTTTTGCATAAGTTGATTTTCGATAATTTCAATAAATAAAGTATAAAATTCGTGAATATCAGTCTGAATTGTAGGATCTATAGTTAACCCTGCCTTTTGAAGTTGCTTTCTAAGAGATTTCGTTGAAATAATTGTATTACCATTTAATGGACGAGATAAACTATTTAAAATCTCATTAATTTCAGCTAAAATCGGATTTGTTTTCGGACATTTTTCAAAAAAATTGCGCCATTGGACTGAAGATGCAAATGTTTGAATTAATGAATTCAAATAGCATAGATTTCCAGGATTTCCAAGACCTGGTGGGAAGAAATTTGCAAATTGTCCAAATGGAAGATGTGGATCAAACTTTCCTTCACCAGATGACTCAAATATTGAAGAAAGCTGGTGACGCATCTAAAATTTTTGAGAGAATAAAATACTAAGAAGATAGCTACCAAATGATTTCTATCTATGTAAAGACGATCAAGATTATATTTACACACAACAAGAAGAAAAAAGGATGATTTTGGGAATTAAATCTGAAGATAACAATGAAGTTTATCGACAACATATCATTTAAATCATCTATACTGTTTATCTATCCTAAATTCGTTTAATAATTTTTTCAAGAATAAATAGTTCCAAGAACGTTAGAATGACTGAAAACAAGGATGGAGCATTTTCTGGCAATTTTGAGAAAGAAATTACAACAATTCGTAGACTTATAAAACATGAACGATTCACTCAAGCAGCTCAGCAAGCGTCCAGACTTTTATTCCTCGATCCAACACAGAAAAAAGCATTCTATTATCGCGCTATTGCTTATGCAAACATGTGTGATATCCATTCTGCATTACTAGATATGCAGCGTGTCATGGAACTTGATCCTCTTAACTCTAAAGCTGCTGCTTGGTGCGCATCATTAAATTTCAACGAAGGCCTTTTATTACAAGAAAAGAAACAATATACAGGTGCTCTTAAGCACTTTAATCGCGCTTCACAATACGATAGACATAATATTAATTCAAGATTATTCGCTGCACTGTCACATATTGCATTAGGACAATATCCTGATGCGGTTTCAGGTCTTTTAGAAGCCAAGAAAACCATGAATCATCCTTACATCGATGCTTTACTTTCAAATACTTCTCTTCATTTTGATAAATTAGCTGAAGCATATGCCCAAGCTAACGATGCTCTTGCTCAAGATCCAGACAATCCAATTGCAAAGAATGTTCTCGATCAAATTAAAGTTTTTGTCGATAAAAAAACCTCTACAATCGATGAGATGCTTATGAGTGACAGAAGAGAAGCCGCTCTTGTCGAAATCAACTCCTTACTCGAGATCAGACCAGATCTCATCCCAATGCGTGTCCATAAAGCCATGATTATGCGAAGTGCCGGAAATCTCGCCGAAGCTGAACGAGAACTCATCTCAATTCTCGACCAAACACCCAATGTCGAAGCCCAGCGTCAACTCGCCTTGACGTACAACGATATGGGCATTGGAACATTCATGAACGGATATCCACAAGAAGCAATTGTTTGGTTTGACGCCGCGATGAGAGAATCTCCTGATGATCCGAATTTCTTCATCAACAAAGGCGACTGCTACCGTGCAACAGAAGATTTCGAGAGTGCTCTTGCCAACTACCATAGAGCAGCTGAATGCGGAGCTTCTGGCGAAGGATTACAGCAGCGTTTGGCAATTACACATTACTCAATTGCCAGAGAAAATCTTAAGAAAGATAAAACAACAGCTGCTTTGTTTGAGTTGAATCAGTCGATCAAAGAATGCGGTGATTTCGCGGATATATATGTTGTTAGAGCCAAAGTCAAAGTATCTTTGGGACAATACGAAGAAGCTTTGGAAGATTTGATGACTGCTTTAGAGAAGGATCCGAAAAATGAAGAAGCAAGAAGATTATTAAATATCCAACAGGAAGAAATTAAAAAGAAGAAACCAAAGACAAAGCCAAAGTATAAGGTACCCGAAGTACAATTGTTCAGCATTGAAGATTTGAGAAGTAAGCCTTTCGATTACTTGAATGGAACAAAGAAACTCCCAAGAAAGAAATAATTATTTAATTATTAAAAATGTTTGTGTTTAATTATGATACATTTAAATCATTTTTTCTCATACGAAGTGGAAATACTTCAATATGGATTAGAAAAAATCTTTTTTTTTAAAAATATTTTCAGATATTTAAGCCACTAAAATAATTATTGAAGTAAGGGTAATATTTTTTAAAACAATAGTTTATTTATCAAAATATAAAACAACAAGTATAACAGATCTTTATATAAATATTTTATTTGCTGAGCAAACGGAATTTGATATATTTATTAAGTGAAAATTGAAGAGTTGAAAGTTTGTACTTAACTAAAAGTGAATTACTATCAAATTTGGATTAATTTTGCTGTTGTTGTTTTTCTTTATTCTCAAAAGCGATAATATATTTGATGAAATATTCCATATTTTCCTTTTGTTTGTCGATTTTATCTTTATCATGCTTTATTTCATTGTAATTTTTTTCTATTATTTCTTTTATTTGATTCAATTCTTCTTCAGCATTGCTGATCATAGTAACCTTTTTAGTTGACTCATCTGCATTAATTTCATCAACAAAATTGGAAGCCTGAGAAAAAATCTTGTCAGCATCCATTTTTTTTTGGCAAAAATTTTCCACTGAATTATAAACTTGCCAACAAATTTTAAAACAAAATAGTGCTTTTAAATACACATGAGATGTCCATTCAAACTATCATGATATCGATTATAAAAAAGCATTATTTCCATGAACTCAAATCAAATATCTACAAAAATTTTTGTACAAACTCAATTTATTACAAAGGACTTTGTAAATAAATTTTTTATTAGTCTGATTAACTATGATCAGACCTGATTTTTGTGTCACTTTTCATCAGATCTAATATTTGAATAACACTCACAGTAATATCAAAATATCAAACTTTTATTCTCAACCACGTTTCTTTTCAAATATTCAATCTTAATTTTCATTTGAAATTTATCACTCTAAAACTTGACAATCTGATCAGGATGTTCTTGCTCCTAACTATCTTTTCCTCCTCAAAGACGCTTTTATCCAGTTGTGCCAAATGCCAAAAGGAGTATTCTAAATTTACAATGGGTCTCCACAATGCTTCCATTAAAACAGATTTTCCTTTTTGCAAAGGAAGTGAAAAATGCAACAAGGTAGCTTCTCAGCTCCAAAATAAGTTTAAAGATTTAGTAACAACACATGACGTCTGTGTTTCCTTGGGTAAATGCCGTCCCAAACCACAACCACTTTCTCAAAATTCTCCAAGAAAAGGATCATCAAGCATTACACTTCATGAAACCTCTAATAACTGCGAATTCTGCCAAAACCTTATTGAATACTTAACTGGTGATGGTCTAAAGGAAATTTCTCTTCCTATATTGACTGAATTCGTTAAAAATGTCTGCTTTGCAATGAATTTCAACATGCTTTGCGGTAGCGTAAATCAGGCAAACGTTGATACTTTAATTTATCTAGTTTTAGCTCACTTTGATACCTTAGAACTTTGTAACACTGCAGGATTTTGCCAAGATGACTAAGTCAGCTAGTTAAATTAATATACTGATGAGATTATTAATTTGCATAAAACTATGTAATGATGTGTAAAATGGAGATGCTTTTTGACTAAACTTTTATTTACGGAAAATGTTAGAACATTTTTATAAAAAAATTGATTGAGAAATTTTATTTCTAATATTCTAATAGGATAACTTATGAATATTGATATATTAGTTCTAACAAATAAAGTAACAAAATAATATTATATATATGCTCTTAATAAATTTGATATCTAAAATCATTGACAAACAGTTGCCATCATTGCAAATGCTTCTCCGTTAAATAAAGGAAAATCATTATTTCCTCTAGCTCTATTTGGTTTTATTCTGAGATCTTGAGATTTGATTAACGGTCATCCTTGGAAAAAGTTAGACCAAATATCAAAATCCGAACAAACTCAGAGTATAGATACTATTATTCACTACCAATTAAATTGAATTTTTAATCGCGTCAAAACCGAGTATTTTAGAATATTTTGAGGGCAATTTGTTCGCTAAGTAAATCACGTAAAATGGAACTAAGTACGATCAATAACCTTCTGTGATGTAAAATCAAAAATTTTGAGAAAAGTGACAATGGAATTTGCAGAAAAAATCGGAGATTACGTAGTTGAAAGAGTTCTAGGCTCAGGAAGTTGTGGTAAAGTTAAATTAGCCAGAAATATGCAGACAGGACAATTTGCAGCGATAAAAATTATCAAAAAATCATTTTTCGAAAGCAAACCAAATATCAAAGAGAAAATTCAACGAGAAGTTGCGGTTATGCGCATATTTAAGCATAGTCGATTACTAAAATTATTAGAAATCTGCGAAAGTCCTCATCATATTTATTTAGTACTTGAATATGCATCGAATGGAGAGTTATTTGATTACTTAATCAGTCGAGGCTGCCTATCCGAGGCGGAAGCCATGCATTTCTTTAGACAAATCATATTCGGCATCGATTTTCTTCATTCCAGATCAATTTGTCATAGAGATATTAAGCCAGAGAATCTTCTCTTAGATGAACACAACAATATTAAGATAGCTGACTTCGGTTTTGCTAGAATTGCAAGTTCTGATCCTCTTACCACTTATTGTGGTTCAATTTACTACGCAGCTCCAGAAATCGTCAATGGAGTTCCATACCATGGGTTCCCTGCTGATATTTGGAGCTGTGGAATTGTATTATACACATTATTAACAGTATGTTTTTTAATGAAATTTTAATAACAAAAAAAAATTTTCAAAAATTCCAAATTTTTTTTGTTATTAAAATTTCATATTTTTTTTATTTTAAAAATACTAACACACAGGGTAAACTTCCATTCCAAGATCCAGCATACAGAAAAACAGTTGAAAAGATTAAATCTGGACATTACGTGATGCCTGACGTTTCCGATCCAATTAACGATCTTCTTGCAAACTGTCTTAACTCCGATCCCAACAGTCGCTTTACTACAGCCCAAATCAAAGCACATCCAGCTTTCCGCATTGGTCTTCCTGAAGATTACATTCTTCCAAAGCCTCTTCCAATTCCTTTCTACTCCGATCCCATTCTCCGTGAAGAGTTAGACCACAACGCTATTATAACACTCACACAGATGGGATATTCCTCGCAGGAAGAGATAGAATCACAGCTCCAAACACAAGGATCTTCGATGGCGAAGGTTTTGTATTTCATGCTGATTACACAAGGTTCAATTGATTCTCTTCCATGGCAATTCACTGAGAACCAAGACATGATGATGCCTATGGATAATTCCGGAATGGAAATGGAATCAAACCAAGTGTTCGGAGCAGGTTCTTTGGATTCTTACGGGCGAAGAAGACAAAACACTTATGATGTCAGTTCTCCTGAAGTTTATTCACTCGCGACAAGGGCACAATGGGGAAATTTCCCGAACAAAGAATATCCTCAAGAAGTAGTTCAGCCTTTTGTCGATATACAATTGCCAGCAGAAGTAATCTTGGCTCACATGCAACAGTTGCTCTCCAATCTCTGCTTCAAATGGTTCCATCCTGATGATATGACAATCATCGCAAGAAGACTTGAAGACAGAGCAACAATCGTTGTAACATTAGAATACACGGCTGAGGAGTGGATAACAATGAATTTGAGCTACTCGGAGATAGAACAATCTGAAATATATGTTCTCAATGATACAGTTCTTAATATGTTAAGTGAATTTTAGAAATTTTTAATTATTTTTTTTTTAAATGTTTATAAATAAAAGATATATATATACTAGTGTTTATTCTCAGGCACATAATGATTGTTTTTCTTATTTATGTATTTATATATCAAGCACTTCGAATTCTCATAATCCTAATTTCAAAATTATAAGAATTCGCATATGATACGGAACTTTCTATAAAGTGGCAATGGAAATTAAATAGGAGATCATTCTCGAAAATGGAGCAGAGATTCAATCACAAATAAATTTTAGACATAATTACCTTATTTTCACATCAATTGTTTCCTTAAAGCATATATTGTTTAGAGTTGGTTCAAATAGTGCATAAATATTGAGTATTTTTGAAAATTTATAAAATTTTTGAATCTTTTCCTTTAATGACATTACATTTAAATTACTTTGATAGCACATATACTATTTGCATATTTCAAAATATCAAATTCTTTGATGAGTGCAGTAGATTTTTTAGTCGAACGATTTAACATCATTCAGAATGGAAAATCAGATAATGCATATGAAGTGTCTGCCGAAATCAATGAATTCTGTTCATCTTTGAATGCATTTGAACCACTTATTGAAATCCTCAAATCTTCAACCAACACTTATCATCAGAAACTAGCAATTTTACAACTTAAAAGAGTATTTTCATGCACTGATAGGGCAGTTTTAGATGAAAATCTTGAAATATGGATTAATATTTATCAAATTTTATATTCAATATCAAATCCACAGGCAAAAGATTTAATAATTTCAAACATAATCTCATTATTTAAGTCTGCGGAACAGTTTCCAATAGCTACAAAGTATATATTGGAGCCATTACTAACAAATTCACAACATAATCTTCTAATTTCACTGAAATTACTACTCAATTTCTCAGTTATAACCAAAGAAGTCTTTGATTACGACATGCAAATCATGGAACTCATTCAAAAAGGCATATCTGCAGGTGGACTCACTGAAATTGTTGCAATCAGGGCAGTTCTCGAGTATTTGAACACATTTGATGATAACACACGTACAACACAGTTCCTTGAACTCATACCAAATCTAATTCCTACAGTTTCCGATGAAGATTTTCCAGAATTATCAGACTTACTTCTCTACTTATCAAACAGCGAATACAAGAACTTCGATGCCACTACAATCTTTCCATTGATCATCGATACCATCTCAAACAAAGAATTCTCCCTAAAGAGAAGAAATTTGTCCCATCAAATTTTGTTGTCACTTTTTGAAAATTATGAAATTTTTGGTAAAAACTTAGAAACAGTTTCTTTGGGATATCAAGCGACAGAAAACTTGGCAGAAGATGCTTTCGATCAAAATGACAGCCGTGGTATCTCTCCTTACGATTTATACACAATTTGTTCTTTCTTCGACCTTTCTATAACCGAAATAACCGAATATTTTGCTTCAATTTTTTCAGAGAACTCTCAGAAAATTTTCGGAGCATTTTCAATTTGTGAGTTCATCATCAACACTCAAGACAACATATTCTTCTACAGAAACAACATTGAATACTTCACTTCACTTTTGAAGTCATTTTTAGAGTCTTCTTCACTTTGTTTAATTGAATCAACTTTGGCCGCTTTCAGTTCACTTTTTGAATCCAATGAAGATGCTCTTGATCCGTACGTGAATGATATTTATATCAGTTCTCTTACTGCAGTTAAAAACAACTTGTCCAAAGAACTTTTATCAGCATTCAAAGATTTACTAAAAAGTGCCAGAAAAACTGACATAATTTTTGATGATTGTCTTAATATGATCATCGAAATTCTCCCTGACGGAAATACTGCAGATCAACAGGTAATGCTTGGAATTGTGGCAGAACTCGTTATCGGTTGTAACGGTTTGACAGAAAAACAGTTTACAACAGTTTTCCAAATTATTCAAGAAATTATGTCAGATTTTGACAATCCGCTTTTGTGTGATGCCGTTTACATCATTGGACATCTTTCCCAGAAAGGAAAAGAATATTTTGTTGATATATTATCAGATGTTGTCACTTTTCTTAGTACAGGCTTGAATTCTGATGACGAAACAATTTTAGTTTATTTCATAAATGCGTTTGGTTTCGTTGCCACTTCTTTTCCAGAACAAATTTATGAATCAATAAATGAGATTGTTTCACTTTTTGCTCAAATCTCTACTCAAGAGACATCAGATGACAACATCACAAAGAAAACCAGGAGATTATGCTTTGAGATGGGGATGCAATTTATGTTCGATTTTCCCAGAAACTTTTATACAAAATTACGAAACATTTTTGAATTCAATTCGTGTGAGATCAAATATTCATTCTGCAATTGCAAGTGAATATTTTGCACGCGCAACTTATAATATAGAAGACGAAGAACTTATCAGAGGTTTGCAAATGAGTTTGGCGGAGATTTTAATACCAATGACCAAAAATGGAGATGTAGAATTGGTCGGACATTGTTTCACTTCACTTTCACTTATTTTTGAGAATTTGGACATAGAAAAACAAAGAAAGATTGCAAAACAAGCATTAAAGTGTTTCAACTTCACCCACAAATGTTTTACTTCCAAAACAGGAGTTTATTTGCAGGATTTGCATCCAAATGCAAATGAAATCATTAATTTGAGTTTGAATATTCCTGAATTAACAGAAACATTAGTTTCTTTCATTCCAAGTTTGATTCCTTTCACTAAAACAAAGGATCTTCTTTTATCTGATGCAATATTAATTGTTTTAACAAATTTGTTTGTTTTACAGCCGAATAATGAACATTCTTCTGACGTTTTCTTTGATGCAATTTCACAATTGGAAAGAAATTCATATGCTACTTTTTACTTGTTTGGAAGGTTTTCTAAGCTAAAATTACCAATTATTGATCAAAATAATTCCGAAATTTACGAAGAAGTCAAGAAGAGACTTTCACAAGAGAACAATGAACAAGACATTGAAAATATGATGTTGATTGACAATTGTTTGAGTTGTTTGAGTTATTTAGTAAGAAATTACGAATTTGATGTTCATGATTATGCACAAATTGCTTTAGCTTCGATGCCATGCAAATGTGATATTGACGAGAATTCGAATGTCATGTCTTTGTTCGAATTCATTTATTCTCAGCTTTCAGAAGATAACAAGTACAAAAACATGTTTTTCACTGTTTTGGTTAAATTCTTCTCTGAATCTGTTGAACAACTAACCAGCGAAAAGATTGATTCAGATATGATATCAAGATTATCATTGATATTCAAGCAGGTTTCTGCATCAATTCCAAATCTCCAAAACAGTATCCAAGAAATTGTTTTAGATGACCAAGAAAAATTATCAAACATTTTCAACATCCTCAATCAATAATAGAAATAAAATAGAGCTTTTTATTATATTTTTAATTAACTTATAAGAATATATTAATGGAATAATCATACATTATGAAATATTTTTTGTATAAATAGTATAAAATGGCTTTAGCAACTTCAATAATGATAAGTCACTTAATTCAATCCATAAATCAATAAACTGAACAAAATATTCGAAGAATGGCATATGCGGACTATATTCATCAGATGTAAAACCATTTGGATTAAGATATTCGTAATCTGCACATGTGTCTGAAATGTCTCAATTTTCTGAAAAGTCAAAGGAAATTTTGGCAAAATTGTTTGACAATCTTTTTTGATTTTAAGTTCTAAACCACATTTAATTTTGTGATTAAAATGTTACTCGACAAAGGTATTAATAATCATAGATTTTTCTTTGTATTAATTAGATTATTAATTAATAATCATAGAATAATCAATTTCTTTTATGGTTAATAAACAAAAACAAATAAGCATAGAAATGACATTGCTGAAATGTAATCTTTTCAGTGCATCTGATAATCAATGGATTAAGCAAATTCATTGAGGATAAATTTCTTAATTCAATCCATATATCAATGAATTGAACCCAATACTGATAAAAGGGTATATATGGAGCGATAATATCAGTTTTCAGACCAATTAATTGATCTCCATCACCATTATTCTTACATGAATAAAGTGTATATTGAGCCATTTCATCATTAACTGCATGCAATCCTATAAATTTATCCCAAGATCCGTTAGTATCTGGTAGCTGCTTATACCCTATTAATGATGGATTCGGTTCGGTAAAATGGCTATATTGATGCCATCGAATATATTGGGGAATCTGTGGAAGTTCAAGCATCATTGAATATACATTATCTGTGCCATTGTAAATTGTAAATTTTTCGTCTATTTTACTTAATATAGAGAAACAATGTTTGTTTGTGGAATAATTTGCAGTATCATTATTAAAATAACAAATTCTTGAGTTATGATGAAATATTTTGAGCCAATGAGAGTCATTGTAAAATACCCTAAAGTTTTTGTTATTGGAATCTGACACGCCCGTAAATTTTTATAAAAGCTCATTAATACAGCTCCCTGATTGGAAACATTCTTTGTGACATATACCATATACTTATGTAGGCACTAGAGAATCTACCATATGATTTTAGTAGTCTACTAATGACATTCATAGTCCAATTAGACGAAATTTATTTTGCTTGTAAAACCACACTACATGAAGATCCAAACCCATTATTATAACATTATATTACTGGTACATAGTAGTATATATTGCTGAGGTTGAAATCTAAATCTAAAAAGTTATCAAGATATCAAACTAATGTAATTGGCCTAGTCTATTCAATTACAGATATATTAATATATATGATCCGGTGAATTGATTTATACATAATGACATGATATATAAAAAAAATTATAATATTTTAAAATTAGAGTTAAAATTTCACATATCTACATGCAAATGGCTAGAAATGTTATGCATATATCAATCTCGGTTGTGATTTTACTATATAGGAAAATATGTCGGAGTAATGATTCAAACTTTCAAAGTAATGCTTTATTTGAACAATATGAATTGAAATTCATTTTGATAAGTCAGGCTATGAATGATAATGATATAATAACAGTTTAAAAAAAGATAATATTATAAATTTTGAAAAGATTGATATTTTTTATTTAATTTGGAATATTCTTAATTCCAATTGATGTAGAATGTGGTATCATGTCAATTTTTGAAATTCGGCTAATTTTGGAAAGACATTTTGAATTGGGCATCAATTGTTCAAATTAAGCTTGGTTATTAATGTAAGTCAAATGCAAAATAAGGGAGAAGACAATATTTGTAATTAAATGTAACAAATTCACAATTTGAAGAATATCAATATAATTTGAAAAAATTGTTAATTTCATAGACAACAAGATATCTATTGACACTGCATATAATTGTGAATATATTGTTCATTTCAAAATTAATAGAGATTTAAAAACTACATGCGTAAAATGAAAACTGATGATAAATGATATAAACTAATATGATTTTATAACATTGAGTGTTTTGATAAACTAAATAGATGTAGAATTCAATAATTATTGAAAATATTAAGATTTTTAAAGATAAATACAAATCATATGGTAAATTTGTGCTTAAGGGATTTGTGAATAAGGTATATTGTTTATGTACTAATTATATGTATGGACAGGCAAGAAAATAAAGAGATTGTATAATGAGAATGTGATTGCAAAAGTTTGACCGACAAGAGTGTAATATGCACTCCGGTCGGTCACAATGTGTCATTCCGGGAGACATTGCCACTGCATGTCTCCCAGATTGGCACACTGTTCCGCATTCATAACTTGAATGCGGAACTTTGACCGACAAGAGTGTAATATGCACTCCTGTCGGTCACAATGTGTCATTCCGGGAGACATTGCCACTGCATGTCTCCCAGAATGAGACAATTTGTTGCAATCAGAATGTGATTGCAAAAGTTTGACCGACAAGAGTGTAATATGCACTCCGGTCGGTCACAATGTGTCATTCCGGGAGACATTGCCACTGCATGTCTCCCAGATTGGCACACTGTTCCGCATTCATAACTTGAATGCGGAACTTTGACCGACAAGAGTGTAATATGCACTCCTGTCGGTCACAATGTGTCATTCCGGGAGACATTGCCACTGCATGTCTCCCAGAATGAGACAATTTGTTGCAATCAGAATGTGATTGCAAAAGTTTGACCGACAAGAGTGTAATATGCACTCTTGTTTTAATAAATTTTAAATACTATATAATTATCTTTACATACAATCTTTACATTATATTTTTTCCTAATTAATATTTATTTCATATTTTTTTGTGCTTTATCTAACTTATAGCATGTACTGAACTATTTTACAGACTCTACTGAGCTATCTCAACATATAAACCAGTGAAAAAAAACACATATATACTCACTTCATATTCTGATCTCATGCCATATTATCGCAAAAACTATATTTATACACCACACCTCATAAAACATCATTTTAGCCCTATCTAAGCGTTCAAAACCTATTTTTCCCGCGTAATCTGATTCTTCAGGATCCGCTGATTCGATTTCTGCCGTCAGATCGCGAAAATATGCATTACATAACAAGATATACACAAATTACTAAACTTAATATTTTCCTTAAAATTTCTCTTGAAGTTCATACACAAACAACATAATTTTTCAAAATCCAATTTTTTCAAAAAATGTATGCATTCAAAAGTTCAGATTATATCTAGTCATTATCCATTATTAATTTTGAATTTGATTTTTTGAGATATTCATTTTATTATACGTATTACTCAGAAAATTAAATGTATTTGTGAGGGAAAACGGAGAAGATAATAAATATTGTCATATAGAGGAATAAGCAATTTTAAGGAAAATATTAAGTTTAGTAATTTGTGTATATCTTGTTATGTAATGCATATTTTCGCGATCTGACGGCAGAAATCGAATCAGCGGATCCTGAAGAATCAGATTACGCGGGAAAAATAGGTTTTGAACGCTTAGATAGGGCTAAAATGATGTTTTATGAGGTGTGGTGTATAAATATAGTTTTTGCGATAATATGGCATGAGATCAGAATATGAAGTGAGTATATATGTGTTTTTTTTCACTGGTTTATATGTTGAGATAGCTCAGTAGAGTCTGTAAAATAGTTCAGTACATGCTATAAGTTAGATAAAGCACAAAAAAATATGAAATAAATATTAATTAGGAAAAAATATAATGTAAAGATTGTATGTAAAGATAATTATATATATTTAAATTATTATATTAAAACAAGAGTGCATATTACACTCTTGTCGGTCAAACTTTTGCAATCACATTCTGATTGCAACAAATTGTCTCATTCTGGGAGACATGCAGTGGCAATGTCTCCCGGAATGACACATTGTGACCGACAGGAGTGCATATTACACCCTTATCGGTCAAAATACCGCTATCTGAACCCAATTCCGGACCAGTACCTCATTTTGCGATTAATCCAATGGGAATCACTTCCAACATTAGAACTTTATAGGTGGATCCCACTAATTTATTAAATTGTTCGATCTATTCCTGCATACTACTTTCAAATTAAGAAAGTTCTTGTCTAATGCATGAATATTTTCATACGCATTGCATCAATGATCTAACAATTTAAAGCTCGCTAACAACCTAAAGCAAAAAACAAAATGATCTGCTAACTATGCAGGCAGCTCAAGCGCACCAAGGGGAGGCGTTTTTCTGAATTGGGCGATCTTCGTGAGATCTCAGGAGGCGAAGATTCGGAACCCAACCGGCTTCAAGCTGTAACATCTTGCTAGCAGGCCATACATTTTTAAACCGCCTCTAACCGTTCATCTCGACCACATTATCGGCATTCATATATATATTTGAATATTAAGACAAATAAAACCATTTGTTTGATCGAAATTGAGTAATTTATTGTTAAAATAAAAAAAATTAAGAAAAAAGTTTGTCATTTTCTTTGATATTTATATATTTGAAATCTACCTTATAAATATATCATTAATTTTATCCCATTTTAATATTATGAGTATCAAATGCGAAAATCAAAAAAAATACTGTCCTGATTCGAACTCAATCCATTTAATCTTGGCATACAGACCATCCCATTATGCCAAAAAGATTACTGTTTGTTTTCTTAATAATAATATAAGATCGCTTATTTTTTATTTTGCTTCTATTAAAATTTAGCATTTTATATCACCAATCATTAATCTTCTTAAGTAAGATTTATATTTTCACTTTATAATTTGTTCTAATCGAATATTTTTTTTTATTCAAAAATTTTAACCCTATTTTTTGATAATAAATGTACCACCACATTTTCTACCTATATTTGATAAATGTCAAACATATTTTTACTTAATTTCCTTTAATTTTTTTAATATTTTTTTTTATTCAGTCTCAATTTCATATTACTTTATATATTCTGGATATAAATTCCATAACTATATCATTGCATTTAAAAATATAGCTCAAATATGATTCTTTATAGGATTTTTTTGTAATACGCCAAAAAATCACGACTTCTAGCCTCTTTATGACATTCTCTCAATTTTTTTTGACAAAAGATGTTCAAATCATAGATTGTTTGAAGATCTGATATAATATTATGACTTGACGTAACATTATCATATAAAATAATAAAATGAAAAAGAAAAAATCTATTTATTTTGGGGTGAAATAGGTAAAAGTTGAAAACTGTTTCACTAATTCAATTTTTGCCCTATTTTTTTTAAATAGAGATGTCAAAAAATTGACAGAATATCAGAAAATGGTAAGTGCACCCTTAAGAATATTTCAATATCCTACTATATGATACCTTTTCGATACAAATAGGATATAGTGTGTTTAGCAACTTCAATAGTGATAAATCTCTTAATTCAATCTATATATCAATAAATTGAACAAAATATTTGATAATTAGATGAAATCTCAGGCATTGTATTTATGCCATTGAAATTTTCCCAAGTTCCATGAAATGAGGACTCAGTAGTAATTTAACAATCAACCAATATACATATTCTGTTCCATTTGATTTTTTAAAATTTTCATCTATTTCTTTCCCATTTAATGTAATTTAAAGAGCTTTCAAGGAATATATATACATTTTTAGGATATAACTTTGCAAAAAGTACATTAGCATATAATATGATGTACATTTCAAGGCTAGATTTCGAGAAAATTGATATCATGATTTTCTGATTAATAAAAATTATCTTCTGCAGTTACTTAGAATTTGTTTGTGATGAGCAGGGAATTATATATATATATATGTATATAAAATGGATAAAATATTATTACAATATCTTTTATAAATACATTAGAATAAATACCGCAGTATTTTGTAAGAATGAAAATGTATATATTCCTCGCATCTTGCATGTGAGTTCGTAGTTTGAACATACTTCAGTAAAAGAGATCGAAGGTATGTCTTTTTCAATGAACATGTTTCTCTTGTTCTTCATACATTGAACACTCCCGCACTTGTGAAGTTTCGGACATCCATCGAATGCATGATCACCAATCGTTGTGAGGCTCGACGATGACACGTATAGGAATGAGAGGCTGACGCAGTTAGTGAGCGACATGAAACCGATAGTTGTGAGAGTGTCGCCGTTGCATATAACACGGATGAGATTTCGGCTTCCCATGAATGCATATTGACCAATTGTTTTCATCGTTGAAGGAACAATGAAAGTCGTGATCTTGCTTGATGGGATGAAAACGATGAGATTAGATTCATCAGCGTCCATGAGTGCGCCGTTCCTGAACGTGTGTGAAGCACTGTTGCAGATGATACTCTCAAGAAGATCACAGTCTGCAAATGCGCCTCCAAAAACTTCTCTGAGAACACTTCCTTGACTGAGTGTGACAGAGCTCAGAGAAGAACATCCTTGGAATGCGAAAGAGTTGATCGTTGTAGTTGTACTCGGGATTGTGAAAGATTCGAGTTTTGTGCATCCCTTGAAGCATGTGCTAGATAGTGTGACGATGCCTTCATGAAGAGTGAGACTGATAAGATTTGTGCAGTTATGGAAACATCCATCTGGAATGTTGTTTGAACAGATAGAAACACGAGAAACTGAACTAGACTCAAATGAGTTCAATAGTAGTTCTGACAGACAATTAGAAGATTCAAATGTAGTGAGTCCACTAAAACTGAATGAATATCTTCCGATCTTCGATACTTGTGTATCACGAATTCCGATATCACCAATCGAAACGCAGTTATAGAATGAATAACTTCCAATAGATGTTATCGAAGAAGGGAGAACGATGTCAGTAAGTTTTGTACAATCACGGAAGCAGTCATCAGGAATCGATTTGATTGATGTCCCACTGAATGATGCAGTTGTCAAGAGCGAACATGACATGAAGCATCCATTACCGAGTGTTTGAAGACTCGACGGGAAATATATTTCAACAATTTTTGAATGGCTAAATGCTGTCTCGTTGATGCTGATAACACTACTACCTGCAAATGTGACTTTCTTGAGATCTTTCTTCCAGAATGTGTTCTTTCCGATTGAAACACATTCGATCGGAATTGTCAAAACAGTATTAATGTCTGTTCCAAAACTCTCTGTGAGGAAACTCTTGTTATTCGAGAATAGCATATGATTCACATACAAAAAATTATCATTACTATCCGTGTCAATTTCAAGATTGCAGTTCATAAACACGGACTGACCAATCTCTCTCAAAGTTGAAGGGAAAATTATTTTTTTTAAACTACTGCATGTTTGAAAAGCGTAATCACCAATGCTAATTAGCTTGGATGGCAACGTTAAATTGCGAAGATTGAAACATGCATTGAATGCATATTGATTAATTGATGTAATGTTATCAGAAAGTTTCACAAACTGAAGGGAATAGCAATCTGAAAAGAAACATGTGGGAACTTTTGTACTTGTAGATGGAAACTCAAAACTAACAATATTAGTTTCGCCAAAGCAGAAAACATTCATTTCAATTGAATGATTAGGAAAAATAATATTGGTTATAGGAACTCCTCTAAAGCATGCACCAAATAATTTATTAACAAATGATGGTACTGTATATTCACCACTAAAATATGCAGAAACAATATAAATTGTCGCATTGTCATCTTTATATATTGTTTTGCCGTCTGTTTTAAGAACTTGATTTCGAGGATCAATTATAATATTTTCTAATTTACAATATAAAAATGGTGAAGAATCCATTGATGCCAAATATTGAGGAATGAAAATACTTTTAATCTTTGAACCATAAAATGCAGATGAAATAATTTCCTTTAACATTGAATCTTCAGAAATAATAATTTCAGACAAGGCACCTCCAAAAGTAGCTCCATCTTCTGACGACCAGCCTATGATAACTTCGACTGTGTTTGGAAGAATTAAGCTGGATAATTTAGAGTTTGAATTGAAAACACCAGGTTGGATTGTTGTGATTCTTGGAGGCATTTTGATCGATATAAGTTTGGAACACATCGAAAATAAGGAGTTGTTCAGACTTTTTAGTTCTGTACATTGTTCCATGTCAACAGTTTCAAGAGAAGAACTGGAAAAACAGAACTTGCAAATTGATCTGACTTTGCTTGAAATATCAAATCGGATCGATGTGAGTTTAGAACGACATTCTTTGAAAGGACTCTCATCAAGTGTGCTGCCACCTGAGATCTCAACAACTGAACTTCTGATAACATACTCACCACTTAAAGATGGAGGTGCATGGATTAATCGATCAAAGTTATCAGAGAATGTAACACCTCGAACATCTCCTGCAACACATAATAGAAAATAAATCAATGATAATATGCTTTAATGATTAATTTTATAAATTGGATAAGCACAACCATCAGTTAATAATGAGATATGTTCTTATAATAAGATCTCTTTTGACATAAGTTATCATTTTTCATTTAAAAAAGTATCATGTTTCCTTGAATTTCCAAAAAATGTCCGACACTTTATAACCTTAAATTTTCAAAATTGATGTGGTATTTTAAACGGCCCTAAGTGACTATCTATTGAAATCCAGCTTTAAGGATTATCAGATAAGTATTTTAAAGATCAAAGTAAATATGTTTTATTGTTTGTTTTTCACGTTTTGACGGGAAAACATGAAGATAATTCGAAATTAAAAGATTCTGGCAATCATATAAGCATTTTCAGAAAGTATATCTCTTATAATAATTTTTTATCTAAACAATTTCAGTCTATTTTTTAATTGATGTATTCAAAGAGTAATAGTCCAAACACTTTCAATATGTATTCAAATTGCAGTCCATACTTTCATTGTTGTTACCAATTTGAACAGATATTGAAAGTGTGGATTATTCATCTAAGTAAGCATCATGCTAGATATAGTGAATGATTTAGAAATGTTTTATAGATTTTTTTTTCTCAGATAATATCATATGTAGTGCCCATTATGAATCTTTCTTCATATCAAAACTTATATAGTGATATTTATTCTCTATATATTGATTTTAATTAAAATAAACAAATACATTTTAATATGATATTACGTTTTCATTTCTTTTTGTTTGCGCAATATGACTTAATTGCGTCATCAACAAAAGTAGGAAACATCTCTTCATCATATTCAGGTTTCTTTGCACTGAGTTTTGGATATTCTTCCAAGAAATCTTTGATGGAAGTGGTCAAATTAAGTTGTTTCTCTATTGCAACCAATTTCGTTCTAATCTGAGCTTGTGTGCACTTAAAGAATTCAGACATCTGCTTCCTTGTCATTCCAGACGAATGCATCAGCAACAAGTTCTTGATTTTTTCAGTTGTCCAATCTTCATCTTCTTCAGTAACTCCTGTCAATTTCTTGTGCATCAACAAAATGATGTACTGGAAATATCCAGGAAGAATTGTTGGAAACATGTGCCAAAGATCGTTTTGCCAGTTCTTGCTTCCGTAGAAGATTTTGATGGCCTTAGAAATACGAAGATTCGACTCCGGTGGTTTGAACTTTAGAATGATTTCCGAATCAACTTTTCTGACTTTCAAATTTAATGGCAAATTCAAATTGTCAGAAGTTGGTTCGATTAAATCAGCGACATAAGAAGGAATACATTCTTTTGTATATGTTGCACCACGAGGAGGCTGTTGCGGGAAAGCATCCTTCATCATCTTGAAGAATTTCATGTTGTTTGGATCGACCAAACTCTTTAAAACAAAGTCAATGTGACGATTGATAACAGCACTTGTTTTGCTGATGCTTTTTTCGATTTCGGAATCTTTTCTTCCGTTGTATCTCATCTCCAAAACAACTTTATCAATCATATCAGGGAATGATGGGTCAGGATCGTCTTTCGCTGAATGCCTGGCCATCCAAAACAAGACATAAATCAAATATCCAGCATTGAATTTTTTGAATTTTTCAGAAATCAATTCCCAATTTCCACCCAAAGAAATGAAAACATTTAAGAGTTTGGAGATGTTGAGCATCTTTTTCGGTGGTTTCATGTACGTATCATTAGATGGTAAGTCTTCTATTGCATATTTTACTTCAGGTTCTATTAACTTCAACTCGTCTTTCGTGAATCGATTTGATTTCTTCAGAAGTTTGAAATGAGCAATGATGTTGTTCTTCGTTCTTTCAAAGGATTTGGAAATAATTGTCCACTTTTCTGGAGTGACAGGTGCATTTTCTAATAAAAGATCTTTCAATAATTGCTCTTCTTCATTATCCCAAGTTGCAACTTTTACTCTTTTCCGACTTTTAACTTCTTCTTTCGTTTCTTCTTTGGATTCTTTTGTTTTTGTTCCTTTTTTGGGTTTTCTGCCTCCCTTCTTGGATTTCTGGACTGTATCTGATGGATCAACAATCTTAAGTTTGTTTGTTTCGCTGTCACTACTGGAGGTTTCGGAATCTTCTGAATTATCAGAATCTGATTTAGTATTTTCCTCAGATTTCTCTTGTTTTGATGATTTTTCATCTTCAGAATCATCGGAATTGGAGTCAGATTCATCAGATGAACTCTCTGATGAATCACTGATTTTTACAACTTCTGATTTTTGATTTTTCTGCTTCTTTGCATCTTTCTTTTGTTTAGCTTTATTAATGATTTTATCTGCACGCTCTTGCTTTTCTTTTTTAGTAAGTTTTTTAGATTCATCAGTATTATCTTGTGATTTTTGATCAGATGATACAGTATTCTCAGGTGCTGGAACATTTCCAGGTTCTGCTGATGGTGATGACTGCTTATCTAAAGGAATAACTTGTTGAAGATTTTGTTTTACTTCATTGCTTTGTTTTTCGCTTGTGTTATCTTTGTAATTACTCTCTAGAAGCTGTGGTAGATCACTATCTGTTTCTTCTCCAGTTTGAGCGTTATTTTCATTATCATTTACAAGATTTTCATCAATTATTGAAGGTAATTCATCTCTGCTATCAGTATCATCTGTATTACCTGCTATATTGGAAATTTTGCCGTTTTGTCCATCCCGTAAGATTGCACTCGCCAAAATCAAATCATTTCCACTTTTTAGTAATGCTGCATTGACATCATTTTTGCTATATCCTAAATTTTTAAGATATTCTACATTACTTTGATTGATTTCTTGAATTTGCGTTTTATTTGCTTGTTTTGCATCCAATTTTCTTGAACATGCAATCACCATCGATTTATCTAATTTAAGCGAATCAAATTTGGTTGTATCGCTGAGTATTTCATCGTTTAATGATATTTCTAATTCATTTATTGGAATTCTGAATCGATCTGATATCATTTGCTTAGCAGTTGAAACTAAATTAACATTTTCTAAATCGAAATTTGCTTGATCTCCATTTGAAAATGTAAGATTGATTTTCATGAAAGGTCAGCAAAATTTAATCAGAACATTAAACTAAAAAATAGTCAATTCTTTTAGTCAAATCATATTTTGATGGTTTTAAAGTTTTAACACGGGAATTTAACTAATTTTCTCAAAAAGTAGTAGGATATGACGGGTTTAGTGACTTTTTTTGTTACATCTATATATAGACGATGCATTAAAATATAATTTATAAACACATTAAAAAAATTAACATTAATTTTAAAATAATTTATTTTTTCATCTTTTATAAAAGAAGCTATATATATAGATGATGTCAGATATTCCGCGATTAATTAAACATTGTTTAAATCCTGAATGGGTTAAACTTCAATTTAAAAATGAAGATTGTGAATTATTAAATGAATATGAAAGCCAAAATAAGCTAATGAGGTATAAATATAATGATAAAGAATATTTAATTTCATGGAATCAATGGAGTCATAATCAAAGACCTCATAAACGAGAAGAAGAAATTGAAAATAATGAAATGGAAATCATTGATGACATTAAAGAGGATGGAATTCCTAAATTTTGTAGAAAAACCTTTAGAACTAAGTTAGGAGCATATAAACGTAGAGTATTAAATCCTGAATATCTTAAACATCAATTTAAAAAGGAAGACTGTGAATTATTAAACGCTAATGAATATGAAAATGCTAAATCAAAACTGAGATATAAATATATTGGAAGTGATGAAAGGTGTAAAGATAAAGTTTATTCAGTTTCATATAATAACTGGCACACGTTAGGGATAAGAAAACATTTAGGAGATTATGGGAAATGTTCTGAATTCTTTAAATCTAAGTAGTATATGTGAAAGGGTTTAGTGACTTTTTTTGTTACATCTATATATAGACGATGCATTAAAATATAATTTATAAACACATTAAAAAAATTAACATTAATTTTAAAATAATTTATTTTTTCATCTTTTATAAAAGAAGCTATATATATAGATGATGTCAGATATTCCGCGATTAATTAAACATTGTTTAAATCCTGAATGGGTTAAACTTCAATTTAAAAATTCATGTCTTACATTTTTTGAATAATTTATTTTTTTATTTAATGATAAATGAGTGTCACAACTAACAACGTTAAAAAATTAGGATTCACAAACGAGGAAATAAAGGATATATTAGAGGAGGCAGGTTATGAAGTTAGTAAATATTATTTAAGAAATTGTCAAAAATTTGCCGAGTTATTAAATGATTTAGATTATGATGGAAAAATGAATAAAGATGATGTTATAAATTTCTTATATCCTACATCTGAAGAAGAAAAACCTAAAGAACCTGATGTTTTCCCTGAATATTATGAAGAACGGATTAAAGATGATGAATATGATGAAATTGAAAGACTGGAAAAAATAAGAGATGAAATAGATGAAAAAATTAAGGAATTAAGAGAAGTTGAAAAATATAATGAAAATGAAGTAGAGGGTTTAATGAATATCCCAGCTTCAGAATCAGAAGTACAGAAATCTCATGAAGAAAGATATAAAAATTATGTCTCAGAATCAACACAAAATTTATTAGATGGTGAAATAAACGAAACACTTTCAGAAGAAGGTACTAAATTTATTCGTAAACATAAGTTACAATTTATTGATAATGAAGAATACCCCTGTATATTACTTTCACCTCCTCTTGATTCTGAGAAATTCAAAAAAGCTCTTAAAAACGTGACATATGCAACAAATACGATTAAGAAAGAAGATCATGATATTTACACAAATTATTATTTAAATAAATGCACAGGTGTTGATAAAGTTTTTGATTTGTTAGATAAAATATCAAAAGAAACAATTGGAACCTATAAAATTTTGTGTGATTGTGGTTTCATTATTGAAGATACCAATAATGTTTCATATGAAAGAACAGCACCGAAGGAAGACGAAGTGGAAAGGTCTATACCATTCGTTATTAAGAATATAAAAGATATGAAAACTTATAAGCATTATATTTATTCATTTATTTCAGAAAAAATGGAAGCAACCCATAAAACATCATCTCATCATTTTATAGCTATTCATACATTCCTTTTCAAAGTTGTGAAATTAAATAAGACAGGAATTAGATTTAATGTATCAGGGTACGCATTCTTGAGTAAATTAAAATGTATTCGTCACGTCGCAGATGATAAAAATTTATGTGTTCTTAATTCATTTTATGGACTTTAAAAAAAATAAACTTTATTTTTATTTATTTTTTAATTTTTATTCTTACATAAATGAACAAAAATGGAACAGCTAAAATGAATGATAATCAAATTAGAGCAGAAGGTAGAAGGTTATTTAAACGCTTCTATAACATTCCTGATGGTGTTAATCCTAAAACTCGTAGAAGTTATTTAAACGAAGCAATAGATGCATATGAAGGGTTTGACATTTCATCAGAAAGTGAGAGGTTAGCAAGAATGTTAAACGTTAATATTGATTTTTATTATTGTGACCCTCAACCAGAAGACGTAGACATTAACAAGGTAGACTTTCCATTAGTGGAATCAATAATGATAGATCCAGAATTTGAAACAGTAAATATTTTATTAACACAGAGTCCATGTGGAAAACTTCACGCTGACAGAATAACAGACGTTGAAGCACTCACCGGCTATAGAGTTTGCCCCTTTTGCAAAGAAGAAGTATATTCTATCCGTGATGATCCAGAAAGGAAAAACCAAAGAAGATTTTTAAAACATTGTGAGAAATGTAAAGAAAATAATGGAAGATTAATTCAAGACGTTCAATTGCAAAACACACAACAACCATATGCACCACATATCACGAAACAGAAGATATATCAATGGCTATTAGCACATAATTTGCAGGAATATTATAAACCAACAAGATATTATATTACTTTTGACTTCGAAACATTAGAGACTAAAGAAGAACTTCAACTTTCTGAATGTGCAACTTTGAATGCTTACTTAAAACCATTCATGGTATCATCAACGGTTAAATTAAAGCCGCAAAGCGGCGAGGTCGTAGACCGTGATAAAACATATACGAGGAATTTTTGCTTAACTTCAAGTGATTCTTTATTTCTGATTGGATTGAGTTTTTATTTTCAACCTGTTCATTAGTTGCTAAATCAAATATTGAACAATATGAAGAATTAATGAAGCCGCAAACATTAAATGAGAAACAAAAGGAAGCATTTAAAGAACTTCTAGATGAGGAATTCAATAAAGTGAATATCATAGGTTTTAATTCGGGAAAGTTTGATTTAAATTTAATTCTTCGTGATTTAAACACTGCAAAATGGAAAATAAAATCAATGCTGGGTTCATCTTCTCAATTTAAGCAAATCATTGTAAAGAAAACAAACGTTCCATATGAATTGAGATTTATTGACATCAGAAATTATATAGCGGGTGGGACATTAGACCAATTCACTCGAGATTTCGGAAACAATAAATCACGTGTTAAATCCTTTTTCCCTTATCAATTCATCACGTGGGAAAATTACGAAGAAGAATTATATAAAGAGGAACCATTCACGAAAGATTCATTTTATTCAGCATTAACTCAAGAAACTATATCAGATAGTGATTATCAAATATATCTCAATGATGCTAAAAATTTTAAGAATAGATTAGAATATTTTATTCATTATTGCAATAAAGATGTTGAAATTATGATTGACCCAATTGATAAAATTATTGAAGAAACATTTGTTTATAAAATTGACATGCTTCATAATCTTTCTTTATCATCGAATGCATCAATGATTCGTTACGCTTTAGCATATAAAGACTTTAATCCTAATGAAAAATATCCAGAAGAAGAAAATGTGGAATCAAGTTTTGAATTAACGAAAAAGTATTGGAAATATAAAATTGAATCATATAAGAAACAAGATGAAAAAGCAGAAAGAGATACTAAAAATAATGTTTCAATGGATGATTTTCAATACTATCACGATTTAATCCTTTCATCTAAATGCAAAATGTGTGGTAAAGCGTTTACATATGCAAATAAACCAACATTAGATAGAATCGATAATGAAAAACCACATACCAAAGAAAATTGTCAGTTAATGTGTTGTTATTGCAATGTCGTAAAATCAAATAAAGATGAGGATGTTCAACGTTTAAGAATCAATTTAAGAAATTATGCATTAAAAAATAATTTACCAATGACTTTAGATTCAGTTGAAGCTTATCACATTCTCCGTAATGGAATTACTGGTGGTCTATCAAATGTTCAACATCGTGTTAATCTTAAAGGAATCACGCACATTAATAAACTTTCATATAGTCCAGAAACTAAAACTGTATCAAATGAGGACACCACCAACATTATGACTCATTTTGTTGGAGTTGACTTTAATTCATTATATCCTTCATCATTTTCATCTAATCCTCATGATTTCATTCAATATACTAACCATAAAATGTATATGCCGGGAAGATTGAATGGTGTTATCATTTGTGATACAGCAACAAAGAAAGCAAAAGCATTGGGAATAATTAGAAAGAAAAATACTTTATTCGTGGCTGAAGTAAAGGGTCACATTGATGAAAAATACATTAATGATTACATAAACTTTTTACCGATAATAAGAAACTTAGATATTATCACAGATGAAAAAACAATTGGCAGTTTTATGTATAATTACATGAAATCAAACAATCTACCAGTTGACCAGAAACAGAGAAAATTAACTCAGTTAGCATCAACACACAACCAATATCAACCATTTTCTTCTTATTATCTTTGGTATCTAATAGACAGATTTCATTTTATCATTGATGACATTCAATCAATTTTAACATTTACGAAAAATACTTGTTTTAATGAATTTGCGAACGAATTTATGAACGAAAGACAAAAGGCTGAATTAGAAGGAAATAAAGGAAAAAGTTTATTTTGCAAGATTTCACTTAATGGATCATATGGTTACGATGCAATGAATACACAAAATTACGCAAAGACTAAAATAATGAATGCACAGAAGGCACGCGTTGCATGTATGTCAAATAAGTTTAAAAACATAAGAGAAATAGGTGAAGATACGTATCAAGTGATGCTTAAAGATAGATTTTATAGATGTGATACATGTTTACAAGAGGCATTCTTCACTTTAGATAATGCTAAATACTGGTATTTGGTTTTCATTTATGATTTTATGTATAAATGCATGGATGTTAATCGTTTTCATTTCATTGAAGGTGATACTGATTCATCTTATTGGGCTATTGCTGGCGATCCAAGTCTTCCTAACACTCAAGCATTTCAAGCAATTGTAACCGATAAACAATTTTATGATAAAAACATTTACAAATTCGCACCTTTTGATTTCTTCTGTTTTGATGAGAAATTTAAACCTAAATTAAAGAATAAAGCTGAAGAAAAAGCACATGAGAAGAAGTTATTGGGTTTAGCAATTGAGAAACAAGGTGATAACATGGTTGCTTTATGCCCTAAGTGTTATACTTCATTCAACGGTTCAATTGATGGAGGTGATTTTAAAAAGATTGCACAAAAAATGAAAGGTGTTAGTTTACGACAAAATAAACAATTAACACCTAAAAATTATTTGGATATAATAAATGATAAAGTGATATTTGATGGTCAGAATATTAATTTACAACTTAAAAACGGGTCAATGACTCGCTTAACAATTGGTAAGACTGCATTAACAGGAGCACACACTAAGGCTGTATGTTGTGAAAATGGATGTTGTATGCCATTTATTTAATGAAATGCCACAGAAGAGACAAAAGGAACCGTTAATAATGGTTTTGTACTATGATTCAAAGAGGTGGGCACCCTTAAAACATTTATTTTATTTTTATATAAATGGATAACACAGATTTAAAAATTTTAATTGATGATTTAGTATTTAATCAAAATTTTCTTGATTATTATGATTTAAAAGCATATCTCCAAAAATATAATAAAAATATAACGGGTGATGATATGGATTATTATTATTCGTATTATAAAAATGAAATTTTGAAATATCATGATAAAATAATTTCTGAAATTAAAGACAAAATTAAAAATAATGAATATACAAAGGGAAAAACTAAATCACAGCTTAAACAGTTGAAAGATTTCAAAAAATAAAGTTAACAGAAGAAGATATTGATGAATTATATAAATTATATAATCCCGAGCCGCAAAAGCCAAAGGAACAAAAACAAATGGTACAAAACGCCCAGGTCCTTCAGACCATAAATGATGTACAAGCTTTAATTTATGATTCATTAGTTAAACCATATTCAGCCCGACTTTTAAATGAAGATCAACTTTTGGAATTCATCCTTCAACATAAACTCGAAGCGGGAAAGTATATCAAACCTTTATATACAGCATATTTAAAACAAATGAATAGAATACATCCAGAATTAATGAAAGGAGGAATGAAATCCAAAATCAAAGCAGATAAAATTAAACCACTTACAACACCAAAACCTCCAACGACAGTAGTACCTCCTCCTTCAGTTAATCCTTCATCATTCACTTTATTATATCCATTTCAAACATTAAAGAAGCAAAAAGATTTTAAAAAGGATTTCAAGATATTAAATAAACCAATTGACCCAAAAATTCAACCGTTAAAGGAAAAATTTAGTCGCCCTTCATTTGCACTATATCCATATTCATACGAAATCGATCATCTGGAATATTCAAAAGGAAACGTTACTTATTTATTTGCCATTAACATTAACACCAGATATTTATATTGCATTCCGGTGAAAGGGAAAACAGAACAGGAAACAAGAAGAGCTATACAATACTTACTAGATCATGAAAGAGTAGATAATATAAGGGGTGATGGTGATAAAGGATTTCAGGCAGCTATGGCTCATTATTTCCCACAAATTAATTTTTACTTTTCATCCTCTCCATATACGTTTCATAATAAAATAGTTGATGTGGTAATGAGAACTCTTAGAGATGCGTTAGGGGTTAACGGTCAGATATACTGGGATGGAAATCATGACTCCATCATACAGCAGTTAGTATATTATTACAATAATACATGGCATAGAACTATAAACATGAAACCAGTGGAAATGAAAAATGATATTTCAAAAGAATGGGAATATATTAGAAAGCAAATGGAAAGGTTAAATGATGTTAAACGTGAACAAATTAATTCGGGGCTCATGAATTTTAAACAAGGGAATAAAGTTTTAATTCATCTCGATTATGGAAAAACTGATAAATCAATGACAAAAAGAAGACGAAGATTTGACACAATAGCTGAATTTGTTAGATATATTAACGGCAATGCATTAGTTGAAGTTGACAATAAATTAATAGAAATTCCGATTTATTTTATTACTCCATTATATTTAAATAATATTTAATTTTTTTATTTCGTAAGAAAATGAGTGACAACAAAGCAGTCAAGAGTCCAGACAATGAATATAAAAAGAAACTAAACAGAATTAAATCAAAAATATGCTATTACAAAAAGAAGTCGCAATGCAGTGGGGTTGAAAATGATAAAGAAATAATCGAAAAATTAGAAACTTACCGTTCAATCATTAAACTGAGTGAAGCAAAAATAAAAGAATTTAATAGAATAAATAAATTGATTGGAAGAGATGAATTTAATAAAGATGAATTTTTAAACTCAATCCAAATTTAATTTTTATTCCTCTTCGACAACGTCTCTCTTTCCATCATTACTGCATAACCACATTTTCTCAATTTTAGTGGTTTGTTATTTTTAACATGTTCTTGCATCATTTTTATCATTTCCTCCCTTGTTATGATTCGTGGTAAATTTTGAGCTTGTGGGGTATTCATTTATGATAAAAATAAAAATTTGTTATCACTTATTTTATCGTTAATGTTTTTAGGTTATTCAATAATTAATTATTTTTGAATAACTGGGAAATAAATTTACGTCAAATATGCAATTTATAAAATCTTATGTCGACAGGCTACGTAGCACAGTGGTCTAAGGTGGTGTTATGGGGGGTTAGGGTCTGTGGTTCGAACCGCGACGGCGCCGTATTTTCTTATTTTCTTTGTTTGTCTTGTTTGTCGTGAATAAAAAGTGTCATAAAAGTGCTCTATCTTCCACGGGAATAAATAAAAAATTTACTTTATTTCTTCTTTATTTCTTCTTTATTTCTTTGTTCCCGTGGAAGAAGGGTTTTGCTGTTTTTCTCAGCCGAAATCAATGATTTTTTCATTTTTGGAATCCTTAGCGAATGAGGAATCTTTTCTCTCGTGGAAGCTTTGAACAAAAATATATTTTAGGTGAAAAAACAGGTGAAATCTCACCTCTTCACCTAAACATTATTTTTGGATCATTTACGCTCATTACGAAGAAATCATGACAAAACATTTACGATGAAGAAATCATGACAAATCATTTACGCTCATGTTTGACAAAGAATATACATTCATTACGATGAAGAAGTCATGACAAAGAAACGATGAATGATCATGACAAAACATTAACGTAAACATTAACGTAAACATTAACGTAACCATTAACGTAACCATTTATTTCTGCAGTTCATCCATTACTTCATTACCTAATTAATTACAGACATAAAATATATTTAGTTCATTCATTGAACTCTATACCATGCGTAAACTGTCATAAATGGCGGCATGTAATCTTTACTTTGTCCCGTTGTTTGTGTATATCCTGAAACGCGATGTGTATGGTTTCCTCCTCCCTCAGTGTTACTCCAGTAACAATCTATAGCAAACTTAACGTTGTCTTTAACATCATATCCTTTACCTTTTATCATTGCTGACCAATCCCAATATCTATGCTTATGCCAACCCGCTTGAGATGTACTTAAATCTATGTAGTGACTATGTGCAGGTAAATTTTCACCTGAAATCGTTTTACTTCCTCCTGTTTCCTTTGAAGAGTTTGCACAATACAAAAACCTGTCAACTATTTGTTCCCACGTACCGAAACCCAGAACTGTTGCTGGATTTGTTGAGTTCATTGACGTATAAATAGAGCCTATAGGATATAATGTTTGAAGTATTTCTGTCTTTAATGTTTGAAGCTCTTTTTTGTCTGCTTTCTTGTCATATAAATCTTGAGCAGTGAATTTAATATTATGTTCATCCTTCATGACATAAACATCTTTACATCTAATGTTTCTCATCGTCGTTATGTCGTCAGCCGATGTTAAACCTTGTGGAAAGTTAGGAGGTTTACAATATAATACATCCCCACCAGTTTCTTCAACCGTTCCTTCAATACTTTCTATAGCAACAGTTGTAAAACTTGTATGTGTATGGTTCTTATCTGCCTTCTTCTCTAACTCATTGTTAACATAAGTTTTATCTGCTTTAAGGTCTAAACATTCTGAAACCCATCCTGTATCAGCTTTAGTTTTAAGAATCTTCGATGTCCGTTCATGATACCATTCAACCCTTTCTATAATTTCATTATCTTTTTCATTAACATATTCCTTATCTGCCTTCTTCATTAATTCACTAGCCACAAGTCCCTTATCTGCTTTCTTCATTATGTCATTTAGGAAACCTTTTATGAATTCCTCATTTAAATTAAATCTTCCAATCTTCAAAACTTTAGGAAATGCATTTAATGCGTAATATCTTTGTTCTTCTGGTGGAATTGATGTTATATCATCCGTTATTCCTTTAATTTTTGAATTCATAAATAAAATTTCTTTTATATTTGATATCACTGCACCACCTTTGCAAACGAATTCGAAATGGTCATTTTTCAATACTATCTCCAAATCTCCATATTTCAACATTTGCGTTTGTTCTGCCGTCTTTGAATTATATGCATATATGGCGTATGTAATGGTCTGTGCCTTAAGTTGTTGTGGTTGCTGTTGTTTAATCATTTATTATGATTTAAAAATAAATATTTAATCCGTTATCTCATCACCTATTTTTTCTATTTGAAATTGCCATAATATTTCATTCATGAATTCTAAATCACAATCAAATAGGTCGGTTATCTAAATTTAATATTTGATAAATCTTTTGAATGAAGAATAAATGAATTCCCAGATAATTGAAACGGATATGATAAAGAAAATATGTTTAAGTTGATGGATAAAATGTTTTGTATTGATGGGTAAGAGTTAGGGTCTAATGTTTGATGTGAAAATCTCATTGGGGTATTAACTTTATCACATTTGATTAAAATGAAATTGGAACCAGTGTCAGAATACAAAACATCCCCAACATCTTTTTCAAAATTTAATATCCCCAACAATGAACGAAGATGAGGAGTACAAAATTTAATTTTCAGCGGAAATTTAATAAGGTTATTTATTTCATCAAGTTCAAAAAGTTTATCAGGTTTTGATTTAAAATTTTCTTCATACCATACGATAAATGATTCATTTAAATAACTTAAAATCATGTTAATATCCCATTTCGTTATCACATTATTTATATACATATCATATGTTTTTTCAAGGTCATCTTTAATAAATGATATATAATCTGAAGGGTCTAAAAGAATGGGATTAAATTTACCACTCACAGAAACGAGAGTAACATTATAAATTCCACTAACTGTTAAATTTAATTCACAGCTATTATTCGAAATAATATTGATAATTGACATTTTTTATTACGATTAAAAATATGGTAAAGCGTTATTTTCCAGTGATAAATAAAACTAGAATAAGATTACCTCAAGAATTCATAAATTCAACGAATAAGAAATTCATTCATGTTATAAATTTTAGTGTTTTCAGAAAATATGAGTCAATGTCATATTCATCATCGGGTTATATTTCACTTCATTCAAATTTAGTTCAATCAAACCCATATAATGACCATTTCATAAGATTTTCAGATGGTATTAAAAATGCAATTGATAGATTAAAATATGAACAGATTGACAATATCGAATTTTTGGAATTTTGGTTTAAATATCCTGATGGAAAAAAGATTGAAGTTAAAGATAAAGCTGATACTATAACAAAAACAATTACAATGACCGATCCAGATAGTGGGGAACAAAAAGAAATAAAACAAACGATAGAAACTGGTGAAAGGTCAATTATTATTGATTATGATTCAAAGGATTATTATTCAATAATGTTAATGCTTGAATATTAAATGGCCTTAACAAAGAATTTTTCAAGTGATATTTTATATTCATCAACTATTTTATTATAAATATCATTATATGTTAAATGAAGTTCAGTTGTTGTTCCGTTCTTTGATATCTTAATTGTGCTAATATCCTTTATAGGATTTATTTTTGCAACTGTTCCGCAGCATGAAACCTCATCATCTATGAAAAATTGAATCTTAACGTCTGAATCTTGAACATCACAAAGAATGGCGATAATGTGAATTAATGATTCATAAGGTAAAATAATTAAACCGGATTGATCAATTAAATTTATTATTGAATCATAATTATTAATTATTATATCACGGTAAATTTTCATTAATTCTGAATTAATGTCTATTTTATATGGCGTATTGCGACTGTAATCGTAGATTCCTGAGTTCTCGATGTTTGATGAAAGAGGTGGGGGGTATGTTGGATAAGTGGGAATTTCAACAGGTTCTTTACCGGGTTCAGATAAAATGATTGGGTCTTCATTCTCCTCATTCTTTGGTAAGTCACGAGTTAATAAATTTGGTTGAGTTGCTGACTTTGTTAATTCAGGGCTAACATTAACTTTAACATTTTGAATAATTCGTGATTTATCATCATTTACGTTATAACCAACCGTAATCTCTGCTTTTGCGTTTGTGTTCTTTTGACTTGTGAAACGTCTTCTCATTTATAATTGAATAAAAAAAGAAAAATATATTTAAAGTTTTATTTAGTTGTTACGGTAATATCCCAAGGTTCATCATTGTTTGCTTATACTTTCTTTGTAACTGCACCAATTATGTTATTGATATTGCTTTGAGTTTCTTCCAGTCTTATTTTATCATTTACAATATCTTTAATCATTTCATTACATGCATTCTTAAAACCATCTGATTTTTCTAATTTACGTCTATCACTTTCTTTAATTAAATCAAAGTTATAACCTTGTTGAGAATAAAGTGGTTTCTTTATCAATTCCTTGAACGCTTCTGAAAGTGAAGATGAAGAAATTCTTGCCACTTGAATTGGTTTAAATTCTGCTTTCATTGCTTCTTTCTGTTCATTGAACACTGGATCGAATAAAGCAACTTTAAAGAATTTCTTAGCTGGAATTTCAGGTCTCAAATTTGTATATTGACCATCAAACTGATTAACATATCGTGGTAATCCATCCGGTCCCTCTTCAATAGCATTTAATTCTTCATTGAAATAAGAATATGGATTATGACGGTATGAATTAATTGGACCATTTTCACCTTCTCCAATGTATTGTTTAACAGCTTTTCCATTTTCATCAAATTGCATAGGATAACGTTCATTATATGCTTTACGTTTAGGATAATCAGATATAGTTAATTTATACCCATTTATGACTTTAATATTACCTTGACCATCAGTAACGAAAACTTCATTTATACCATCAGGTTTTCCATTTGGACCCGTAATGTCTGCTTCGTGTGCTTCCCAATTTGGACCATGACGTTTGGCATATGCTTGAGCTTCTGGTAATGTTAAAACGTTTCTCATTTGTTTAACATCTTTTGAAGACCAGCAACAATGTGGACTAATTCTTTCATTCCGTCTGGAACTTTCATAGTTCTATTATATGCACCCTTTTTGTTTGTCCCTTGTTTTAATGGAACCTGTAGAAGATTTGCTATTTCTGTCATGTTTAATTATAAATAAAAAATAAAAATTAATTATAAAAAGTTAATCAAATTTAACACTTCCTTTATTTAAATCAACTATTATTTTTCCATGTTCACCTAATTGCTGATATTGTGTGTAAAGTTCATTAATGCTCATTGGTAAATTCACTTGATAAAGCATAACGTTCAACTGTTGACGACTAAACCCACTGAAAATGAAAAGGGTGGATTTGATTTAATGTTTGTGCTTAATGCTTTGAAGTATTGAACAGCCATGAAGAATGAACACTGAATGTGTCGACATTGAGTTAATAACTGATTAAAATATGATTTCTCATTTGTTATTAGTTTTGATTTCACTGCATCATCTAGAAAAATGAGTGAATGCAAAAATTCTCTATCAAAATTTGAAATAGAAAGTGTTTCAAATAATTCATCCCGTTGTTTATCAATAATTTTATCCTCTAATCCTTGCTTCTTGATTGTATTATATAATTCTTTATACATTAAAAAGTTTTTTAAATAATCTTCTGCTTCTTCTTGTGATAAATAAATAATTGGAATTTTGATTAAATGCTTTAAAGATTCAAATGTATTATCTGAAGGTGAACCTGAACGGTTGATATAAATTAACACATGTGAATGGGGGAAGTGTTAGCAATAATGATAATTTGTTTTAATATCGTTAATGTTTTACCTTTATTTTGTTTACCAATTGCTGCAGTGATTGAATTTAAGTAACATTCAGAATATGGAATTTTCATTAATTTTTCCTTAGATAGAGCATTTCTATTATCACTCAATGCTTCATTAATCATATCATCTACGTATGTATTATATACTCCCGCTAATTCTTCATAAGGGGTGAATGAATTTAAATCCATTTAATCAAAAATAAATTTATAATTTTATACATTTCTATTCATCAATATTTCATCATATGAACTTCTATACTGCGGTGGTGTACCTGTTGGATGATATTTCAAACCTTCATCCGGTGTCCATGTCCAATATGTAGTCCTAGTAAACCAAACCTGAGGAGGATTTGTCACTTTTGAACAGTAAGTGTCATTTTCACCCTGAATGATTGGATAAGCTTTCACTTGTACTGTAACTTGTGAGTTGAAAGTTTCTAATCCATCAAAGAATATACCCGCTCCATCACGTTGAACTGGAATAGTGCATAAGAATGAAGTTTGGTCTTTCCATGTTCTAGCTAATGGCGTGCCATTATCATCATTCAGTGGTCTAGTTAATGAGTCCTCGTATTCTTCCGTGCATTCATTCACTCCATCTAAATCAGAAGCTTGAAGCATACGTGTAAAGAATATGTCACCCACTGTGGTCATCGCTTGATCGGGGAAGTTTCTGGAATCTA